AATGTTTCTCTATTTGTTTTCATGTCGTCTCTTTAAGTGTTTTTGAAACAATTATGGTTAAATGTATGAGAAGTTAATGTTTTAAAGACGTGACTCGTTGGTGTTTCTTAAGTTAATCTCGGGTTTGACCAATATCAACGTAGTTAAGATCAACGGTAATATATTGTTTGTCTTAAGAGAAATTAAGCAACATCAGTAAAGTGTTTCCTTTGACCAAGTTAATACTAACGGTACTATTCTAATTAGTCACAGAGTAGCAATGAGAATCAACATTAATAAGCTTACCTTATGTAAATGTACTCAAAATTTCATAAACTGGAAACTGGAAAGTAGCCGTTGCATGCATCATTGGGAAAGAAAAGGAAACAAGAAAGGATACAAATAGCCCAAATCTTTGTTCTAGATTTCACAATCATTTTGTATCTTTCTTCTTCTTCTTCCTCTGAGAGAATCTGAGATGAATCCTAAAAGATGTGCTGCTTGTAAATATCTGAGAAGAAGATGTCCAAAAGATTGCATTTTCTCACCTTATTTCCCTCCAAACGATCCTGAAAAATTCGCATGTATCCACAGAATCTATGGTGCTGGAAGTGTTTCCAAAATGCTTCAGGTATATAAAATCTTCTTGTGTATCTCTGTTCTAAATCCTATATTAAGATAACGTTATTGTATAGTCAATGGTTTATATAACTATAAATATATTCATGGTGGACTTTTGGTGATATTTTTTGACAGCAACTTCCTGTTCAGACAAGAGCTGAAGCAGTGGATTCTTTGTGCTTTGAAGCAAAATGCAGAGTAGAAGATCCTGTTTACGGATGTGTCGGGATTATTTATTTACTCCAAACTCAAATTCAGAAAGCCGAGAACCTTTTGGCCAAAACTCAAGCTGAGATTGCAGTTGCTCAAACCAAACATAGCCAAACCCCAAAATTTGATTATATGTAATATCTTTGTTTCATCTGTAACTTTAAAATAAAAACCTCTGTTTCTGATTGCTTCTTACTCTCTTGTATGCATTGTAGTGTTCAAACATTGCCCTGTCCCGGGAAATTTCAAAATGGTTTTATTAGTGGTCAAATGTGATTGTCTTGAAAGTTCCATTAACTTTGATTTACCACAGTCAAACTCACACTAAAAGAGATTATTTAACTATGCTATAATTAGGCCATAACCCAAAGCATCATCATATATGAAGGATTTAAGACCAAGCTTCAACATTGTTGTATCAAAATTCACTATTTTCACCAATTCAACAAATCTAAACTCCATTTCTTTTACAAACACATGAAACTACACCACGTCTTAGGGGAAATTTTTCTGTATAGTTACAAAGATTACCTATGAATCTGTTTAATAGAAGGAAAACTTATGTCAAGAGACACTGAACTTTCAAAATCAGCCTGCATCCCACTTGGAGAACATAATGTGATGCTGGCTCGAGGTTTCATGCCTTTCATTCACTCTATCCGTGCTTTCGTCTCCAAATGAAGTATTCAGGTTTGGATCAGAATCCATAGAATCAACCAAGTTCGAAACTTTGTCCACTTCCAGGGCTTTCTCCAAAAGTTGGATCATACAGGCAATATGTTCTTGAATAGGTGTGATACTGTAAACTTCTATCATGCGTATGAAGTACCTCAAACCATCCTTTACATTTCCGGTGTTTGCACAAGCAGATAAGACACCGACAAAAGTGATGGCATCTGGTTCTACGCCATCTTCTTCTTCTTCTTCTTCTTCTTCTTCCTCCATCTGTTCAAATAGAGACAAAGCTTCTTCTCCACATCCATGTACTCCCAAGCTAGTGATCATCGAGTTCCATGTCGCTAAACTCTTACTTTGCATGACATCAAAGACCTTCCTTGCGTCCTGCAAGCTTCCACATTTGCTATACATATCGATCAGAGCAGTTCCAAGGAAACAATCGAGCGGGAATCCGTTTTTGTGAGCGTATTCATGAACCCATCTTCCCATAGACAAGCTTCCAAGCTGAGTAGAGGCTTGTAGCAAATTAACTATTGTAAACTCATTAGGCTTGACATCATCGACCTGCATTCTCCTGAATAGCTGAAACGCCTCGTCGGGTCTGCGGTTCTTGACGTAAGCAGTGATCATTGCAGTCCATGAGACAACGTTTCTCGTTGGCATTTGGTTGAATATGATTTCTGCAGAATCTAATTGGGAATTGGAGACGAGACCATTGAGCATAGTAGTCCATGAAACAATGGTTCGTACACGCATTTTATCGAACACCTTGCGGCCACAATCTGGTTTCCCACACTTGAAGTAAAGATCCATGAGCGTGTTTTGGAAGAAGACGTCCGAGAAAAAACCGGACTTGATGGCTAAGCCATGGACTTGGGTGCCTAGGAGAAGAGAAGAAGAGGCGAGACAAGCTTTGATAACAAAAGGGAAAGTGAATTTGTCAAGGTGGGGTTGGTGAGAGAGCATGAGGATAAAGAGAAGGAGAGCTTCACGAGGCTTGTCATTGACAGAGAGTGATCTTATCATGAGGTTCCACGTAAATGTGGAGGGAGATTCGAGTTGACGGAAGACGAGAGAAGCGTATTGGGTCTCTCCGAAGGAAGAAGAGACACTGATGAGCTGACGAACAAGTAATTGATCGTTAGTGAGATTGTGTCTGATGATTTTACCGTGAATCTGTTTCAGTTGAGAGAAATGTGAACAATTTCTGAGAAAGAAAGAAGCTTTGTCAGATCGGAAAGACGGAGGAGAGATGAGATTTGGTGGGGAAGACGGCGACGGAGCCGCCATGGATTAACGATAATCCCCCTATTCACTCTCTCTCTCTCCTCGATTGATCTTGTGTGGATGATGATGATTTGATGATGAAGAAGACTCGCACTTAAACGACGCCGTTGGGTGATTTTTTTTTGTTTTTATTTTATCAAAGAAAATATAAAAATGAGAAAATATCCATTAGAAGTCGACTCGTAGAAGAGGAGGAGGAGGCTTTTCCAAATCTAGGGTTTATGCTTAGGGATCAAAGTAGATTTGGGGATTTGTAAGCAAGATGGTTACGAGCAGCGATCAAATCCAGGATATCTCCGATGATCAACAGAAACGATCGGAGATCTACACGTACGAAGCGCCGTGGCAGATCTACGCCATGAACTGGAGCGTTCGCCGAGACAAAAAGTACCGCCTCGCCATCACCAGCCTCATCGAGCAATACCCGAATCGCGTCGAGATTGTTCAGCTCGACGAATCCAACGGCGAGATCCGATCCGATCCCAACCTCTGCTTCGAGCATCCTTACCCACCAACCAAAACCTGTTTCATCCCCGATAAAGAGTGCCAAAGGCCCGACCTTCTCGCCACCTCGAGCGACTTCCTCCGTCTATGGCGAATCTCCGACGACGAGTCCCGCGTTGAGCTCAAGTCATTTCTCAACAGCGACAAGAACAGCGAGTACAGTGGCCCGCTCACCTCATTCGACTGGAACGAAGCTGAGCCGAGACGAATCGGCACGTCGAGTATCGACACGACCTGTACGATTTGGGATATAGAGCGTGAAGTCGTTGATACTCAGCTTATAGCTCACGATAAAGAGGTCTACGACATTGCTTGGGGTGGAGTCGGCGTCTTCGCCTCTGTTTCAGCTGATGGGTCCGTTAGGGTGTTCGATCTCCGTGATAAAGAGCACTCGACCATCATCTACGAGAGCTCCGAGCCTAGTACTCCATTGGTACGGCTTAGTTGGAACAAGCAGGATCCGAGGTATATGGCCACTGTTATCATGGACAGTGCTAAGATCGTGGTGCTTGACATTAGGTTTCCGGCTCTTCCAGTTGTGGAGCTTCAGCGACACCAGGCGAGCGTCAACGCCATAGCTTGGGCTCCTCATAGCTCCTCGCACATCTGCACTGCCGGAGATGATTCTCAGGCGTTGATTTGGGATATATCCTCCGTGGGACAGCATGTTGAAGGTGGTCTGGATCCGATTCTGGCTTACACAGCCGGTGCTGAGATTGAGCAGCTTCAGTGGTCGTCTACTCAGTCTGATTGGGTCGCCATTGCCTTCTCCAACAAGCTGCAGATTCTCAGGGTTTGATTTTGTTGGTACTATAGATGACCGTAGCTTATTGTTGCTAGATTTCTGTTGTTCATTGTCGTGACTCGTGAAGAATGTGTGAGCGTTGCAGTGACTCTTCTTTTCTGTTGTTGAATGATTGTTGTTCTAGCAAACTGATGAGGGATGTAATGTAAGGATTTACACATTTGCATAGGGATCTCAGGCCGGAGAACGTGATGAGTATATCATCACACTATCATCATGTGGAGTTTCCGACATTGGCAACGATGTAATTCAAGTATTAGCAACATTAACTAGTACAAATGATGTTGTAATCTTCAAGTTCTTACTTTTTGGTACTTGACATTAATGCAGGAATATTGATGCTCTGTTCTCATTTGTATACTATCAATGTTCTTTATGGTCACCAAAATAGGCATCCATTGTTTTCTTTAATCCTTTGGCAAAATCTTTTCAGTTTCTCTCTGGCCTTTTTGATACAGTCGAAACTTTGAATGAGATTGACAAGACAAGACAAGACAATAGATGTACGTAGTAATCTTGTATGGTTCACAATCATATGATGGTTTTGTGCTTGTAAACTCCTAAGACCTCTGCCCTAAAACTCTGAACTTTGAAAGGGCAGACACATGGAGAGTGTGGCCTTATCTTTACAGAACCGTGACCACACCACACGATGAACAAGAAGCCCAAAAGTGAAAAGCCCACAAAATCAGAAGAGAGTTTGTGAAAATTGTGATCATAGAAACGTGAAGATTACAAGAGAGTGATGATAACCACAAGTCCACAACCATACAAATGAGTAAAATCTATCCAGAATCTAATCCTCTTTGCCTCCAACTCATCATTTTCCTTTTCCTATATTACCACCTCTCTTCTTCACAACTTCTTTCTGACCTGCTGCTACAACCTTAACTTTGATCCTTTGTGGTCAGTCAACATGGCTTCGGCTACTTTCTCTGTGCCCAAACCATCTCTTCAGGTACCTTCCTTCTTCATCCTCCTGGTTTCTCTTACTTGATCTTCACAAGTTTCATAAACGTGTTTGTGTTTTCTTGTCTTCAGGGTTTCATGGAGTTCTCAGGATTGCGAAGCTCCTCTGCCTCTCTTCCCTTCGGCAAGAAACTTTCTTCCGATGAGTTTGTTTCCCTCGTCGCTTTCCAGACTTCTGCAGTGAGTTCTCTGTTTCCTCCAACATTATCCGTAGCTTTCGTGTTCTGTCTTATGATTCAGTCAGCATGTATGTCTATAGATCAGATCATTTCTGCGATCAGACTTTCTGTTTTGCGGTTTTGTAAACCATTTAGGTCGTTCTGTGTGTGTGTGCAGATGGGAAGCAATGGTGGATACAGGACAGGTGTGACCGAGGCTAAGCTTAAGGTGGCCATTAACGGATTCGGTCGGATCGGGAGGAACTTCTTGAGATGCTGGCATGGCCGCAAGGACTCTCCTCTCGATGTCATTGCCATTAACGACACAGGCGGTGTCAAGCAGGCTTCGCATCTCCTTAAATACGATTCTACTCTCGGAATCTTTGACGCCGATGTGAAACCTTCAGGAGAGACTGCTCTCTCTGTCGATGGGAAGATCATTCAGGTTGTGTCTAACCGCAACCCCTCTAATCTCCCCTGGAAGTAAGTCAAAAACCGCAGCTCTCTGTCTAAAAAACTTGATCAGTCTTAAGATAAACATTTTCTGAATGTTTTGGTTTCTTTAGGGAGTTAGGAATCGACATTGTCATCGAAGGAACAGGAGTGTTTGTGGACAGAGAAGGTGCAGGGAAACACATTGAAGCTGGAGCCAAGAAGGTTATCATTACAGCTCCAGGGAAAGGAGACATCCCAACATACGTTGTTGGTGTCAATGCTGATGCTTACAATCCCGATGAACCAATCATCAGCAATGCATCTTGCACGACGAACTGTCTCGCTCCTTTTGTCAAAGTTCTTGACCAGAAGTTCGGTAATACAATAGTTCTGCTGCGTCTCCTTCCTCTTTTCGTCTTCTCGGATCAAGTTAATGTATTTGTAACGTTGCAGGTATCATAAAGGGTACAATGACGACGACTCACTCTTACACCGGTGACCAGAGGTTGCTTGACGCGAGCCACCGTGATCTAAGGAGAGCAAGAGCAGCTGCTTTGAACATTGTTCCTACATCTACAGGAGCAGCTAAAGCCGTGGCTCTCGTGCTCCCTAACCTCAAAGGAAAACTCAACGGGATCGCTCTTCGTGTACCAACTCCGAACGTGTCAGTGGTTGATCTCGTTGTGCAGGTCTCGAAGAAGACTTTCGCAGAGGAAGTTAACGCTGCTTTCAGAGACTCCGCAGAGAAAGAGCTTAAAGGTATACTCGAAGTCTGCGATGAGCCCCTCGTGTCCGTTGATTTCAGATGCTCTGATGTGTCCTGCACCATTGATTCTTCACTCACTATGGTTATGGGAGATGATATGGTTAAAGTGATTGCTTGGTATGATAATGAATGGGGTTACTCACAGAGAGTTGTTGATTTGGCTGACATTGTTGCCAACAACTGGAAGTGATTTGTAACTTTTCGAAAATCAAAACTTGTTTCAAGTTTTCCTTTTTTCTTTTCTTTACATAATGATTCTCAAAATATCGGTCAAGAGACTGTATAATTGTAGCCCTGAGTTGAGAGGATTTGTATAATAATGATAAACCTTGATTTAAACTTGATTACATTTTGTACTTTTACGAAACTCTTTTGAACAAGTCTCAAACCAAACAAAAAAAAATAATACACAGAGATGTTAAACGTAATACATTTGGGTTTTTGCAAGAATACACACAGTCGTGTAAAGGTTCAATGGGATCCTAAAAACAGATTTTTTGCTGCTAAAGCCATATATATGGTAAAAGAAGAATGTACCTGAGATTATGTCTCATAAGCTCTCTGTTTTTTTACTAACTACACTTAAGCCTTTGAAGGGTGATGAGATGTCTTTTCAAGCATTCTTGTTCCTTCTTCTTCCATGGCTAGTTTGCTCCATCCTGATCCTCTCATGGACAAAATCTTAGCCCGTTCGAGTCCGTTTCCTCTAAACCCTGTGATCTTCGAGGATACCATTGGCATCACGAGAATCGCAGATGCGTTTATAGAGTCTTCCCCAAAGCCCAATGCCGCTAAACAAGCAGTCTGCAACACACACAAAAAAGAAAAAAAGTAAACCTTTTTGTTTTCATACTGTTGATTGAAGACACTTTTTGCTTTTTGGGTGGTACCTTTGTCTTGGCAATTAGATCAGTTGCTTTCATATACATTCCTTGTACAGCTACTCTTGTGTCTTTGCTATGTCCATCTTCAGATGATTGTGATATCAACCTGTTATAAAATATCAAAATGTCAATTACAGCTAAATTATTGAAAACTTCTGATTTAACGGTCTAACGAGAACGTTTTTTTTTTTTACCTGTCCTCCTCAGTTGGTACGCCCGAGGATACAATGGAGTCTAGAGATGATGAATTCTCTTTTGTCTCGTTGCCTCTTGTATCATCGGGTGCTAGTAAAGAAATGCCTATGAACACACACATCATTCCTAATATGAACATTGTAGTTCTCAGTGCATCGAAAACCTGTTTAAAGAAGGTGAAAGTAATAAGCCTAAATCCACACCATTCAGGTACAAAGTGACCAAACTGATCAGTTCTAACCCGAAGATAAAGGAAACAGAGGAACATTCAATAGATGAACCTGAAACTCTTGAAAGTAGATGAATCCTGTACAGATGGAAAAGAAAGTCCAAGCAATCTGAAACATTGGAACTATGAGAATTGCATCGTATAGAGACAATCCTTCATTCAATCTTGTCATCTGCAACAGAAGCACATACAAGACATTGTTACTTTAGTCACTTTATCGTCTCAATATCAAAATAAAGCAACACAAAATTTCAATTTGGCTTTACGACTTTACCCAGAATCCAGCTGTACTAAGAAATAAAAGAAGCATAGAGTATGTGAACCAGCTGTGCAATTGATAGCTACTAGACATGGCCAATCTCAGCAAGTTTGAGCTGCAAGATGAGACTTGAAATTAGCACCTGAAGTCAATGTGCATTAACTTATCAGCTTAAATCTAACAGATTAACAAACTCACAGTGACTTGGCGAATAAAACCGAACATGATCCTATAGCGCCCGAGACCACAGCATATGAGAAAGGAAGCAACATTTTCCAATAGGAGCTAATCTCTTGTCCAGGCACAGATAGCAAAACTTCTCCCTTCCTGAATATTTCGGTTAAAACATATCACGAAAAAGGGCGAAAATAGTTGAAAAATAGTGCAAGACTACAGTCTCAAATGCAAGACTCACCTATAGAGGAAATGGTTTACGGCTACGATTAAAATCAAAATCCCACAGTAGATCAAGAATGTCATGTTGCTGTATTTCTCTGCCAACTGTTCGGGTGTGAATACTGAGAACAGAAGACTTGCATTAGGTCGCGCTTTTGTGAAAAACCGATAGACAAAAGCCTTACTTTCTGTTCAAGAATAGTTACCTGGTGACTGGTGATTACCAAATGCTACAAGGAAAACGTTTCCAAGAACTATAAACGCTGTAGCAACAAGTACTCTGTGACACAAAGGCATACTAAAGATATTAGAAGATGGAGAAAAAAGTAAACTGGTATTGTTAAAGACTGCAGCGAGGATGCTAACGTACTTAACGGTCACCATTTTGTTCAATACAACATAAGCAAACGCTATGTTGGATACAAATTGAATGGATCCAAGAGCTGCTAAAAGGGACTGCAAAGAGAGTACGCGTAGAGGTAAGAAAACCTAAGAGAAACCGTAATGCAACAATCGAAATCTGGACGAATCACGCAAGTAAGCAGTGTCGAACAGATCAATATACCTGAGCAGCATAACCGAAAGAAATGAAATTGAGGCAATTCCCAAGGAGAAAGACAAGGATCCCTATAAGATTCCAACAACATTGGCCTCAGCTTCCTATAAACTTCAAAGGGGGAAAAGGTTTAAGACCAGAGCATACCAACTCTCCATGTCTGAAAATGTATAATCGGTTTCAATGGCGTCTTTCCTCCGCCGTTATCCTGTAGAGCTAACCTTTCTCTCTGATAATACACAAAGTCAACAAAATGTGAGCTTCGTGACATCAAATGTAACCAAAGAGTGGTGTGTCTAAGGCAAAATGCAGACCTCATTATGTCCCAATTTGAGAAGGTTTGTGCCGAAATTAATAGCAACGCTTCCAAAAATGTTGATGAAAGCTCCAATGACCCATTCTCCCATGGTTAAAAGAATAGAGACGGCTCAATTAGGGATCATTTAAAGCTGCAAACTTGTGGAAATCACTAGCTCAGGCTCTCATGTGATATCTTAGCCTTCAAAATCTGCAAGAGAAGAACCCTCTAAGCATAAACTCTATGAAGGGCTATTTGATGGTGATTGCAAGAGAAAATAAAAAATCACAACGATGCAGCTTTGATTAGGCAATAAATAGAAACCCTCCCAAGAAAACTTTATCAGAGAGACGAATCATGGGTTTCTTCAATCGTACAATCTATTGAAACAGAGATCAAATGGAAGACGAAAGAAAAGGTTTTTCGGAGATTAGCATAGAATTAAGGAGGCAAAAACCTGCGACTTGACGATGGATGAGCTCGCTTCAGATCCAGATTGATTCCTAACAGCAGAGCAGATTACAACTCCCCCTCTCCCAACAAAAAAGAAACTATTTTTTTTTTCTTTTTAAGAAATTGAAAATGGTGAGATTTAGCTTTTTTTGACCAAACAAAATGGCGTCGAGTATAAGGAAGAATAAAAATTGGATCTTTCCCCCCCCAAATCGAAAATTCTATAAAAACAAGAAGTTTTGATTTTTCGTAAGGAAGACCCCAATCGCCGAGAAACTCCCAACGACGGTGACGGGTAAAATGGAAGAAGACGACGATGATGACGAAGAGAATTCGATCAACTGTTGGCAACTTCCATCATAAAAATGACGTTGTGGTTGGGCCCCTTTGTGTGTTTATCTGTCTTCTTGCTGCTCCTCACGTTTTGTTTGGGCTTTTTACCATTTTTACTCTCTCTCTCCCTTTCTCTCTCTAGCCGACAGACACTCAATGGCCAAAAGCATCCCTTTGGGAGGGCGGGTAAAAAAATATTTTCATTCGCACGCAAAATTGACACTTTTAACCTTTCGTTATCAGAGATTTGCTGAGACAAAACACAAAAAATGGATGTTTCTGATGAAGACGACGAGGAATGTTTTGGTTCTCGTTTCAACGACGATGTTGAATCCGAAGAAGAAGAAGAAGAGGGTTTTAGTTTCTTCGACGATGTTGTTGAAGAAGAAGAGGGCTTTGCGTCTGATTTCTACAAGGCTGGTTCTGACTGGTCCTGTTTGGTGGAAGACGAAGAGACCGATAAGGTTACTCCTGAGAGTAAGAAGTTGAAACAATCGAACTTGTTTCAGATTTGGGGTTTACAAAAGACTACTCCCGAATCGAAGAAGAATATGAAACAAACAAACTTGTTTCAGATTTGGGGTTTGCAAAAGTCTTCTCCTTCCGCTTCGCCTGCTTCGTCGTCGGCGAAAAAGACGACGACTGCTTCAAGAAAGAGACTTAGGAACTCTTCGTTTTCAAGTGACTCGCCTCGACAATGCCCTTTTTATAAGAAACTTCCAGGTCTTACTCTTCTTCTTCTTCTTCGCATTCATTTGCCCGAATCGTCTTCCCTGTTTGTCAATTCTATGCGGTTCTTGTCATTATCCATTTATCCTCCTTTGTTAATTGACAGTATAAAGTGCTAAAGTTTGTGTCTTTTGACATTGTTAACTGTAGGAACACCCTTTACTGTCGATGCATTTCGCTATGGCTGTGTTCAAGGATGCTCTGCTTATTTCCTTACTCACTTTCACGCTGATCATTACATTGGTCTCACTAAAGCTTGGTCTCATGGTCCAATTTACTGCTCCTCACTCACTAGTCGTCTTCTTAGACTTAGCCTCTCTGTTAATCCCTCGTAAGCTCCTTTGCGAATGCCATATATATGTTCACATACACCCTTCTAAATATTTGGATTTAGTTTAGTTGTGGTGAATTCTCTGTGTGCAGGTTTATCCATGCATTGGAGCTAGACGTAGAGCACACTATCAATGGGATCAAAGTCACTTTGATTGAAGCTAATCATTGCCCTGGTGCTGCTCTTATTCACTTTCGTCTCTTAGATGGAACATGTTATCTGCATACCGGAGATTTCAGGGCTTCTAAACAGATGCAAACTCATCCTCTCCTCTTAAACCAACGAGTTCATGTGCTGTATCTGGATACAACCTATTGCAATCCGAGATACAAGTGAGAGGAATTAACTTATGAATTTGATTGTGAGTGAGCATGCTCGTAAAGTCTGATCCATTCTTGTTTTATGCTTTTTTGTTCAGATTCCCCTCTAAAGAAGATGTATTAAGTTATGTTGTGAGAATCACAAAGGAGTTCCTCAGGAAGCAACCAAGGACACTGATTGTGGTTGGTTCTTATAGCATTGGGAAAGAATGTGTTTATCTAGCTCTTGCCAAAGCGCTTGGGGTATAAATTTCCAGAGCCATTCTCTTTCCTTTAAGCCATATTTTTTTTCTGGACTTGTAAGTTCTCTAACCACGTGTGGGAGGGTTTCAGGTTAAGATATTTGCAAATGCTTCAAGAAGACGGATACTGCAATCTTTTGGTTGGGATGATATTTCAAAGAATCTTTGTACAGATGGGAAAGCCACATGTCTTCATGTTCTGCCTATGTCAGCACTGAGAGTTGAAGTATTTCTCTAAAAACCAAGATGCTTAACTCAACTATTATTTTATAGTTTTTATGTACAGCCTCTCATGATCTTGTAATTTCTCCGAAGAGACTCGACGAACACTTGAAGCTTTATAGAGAACAGTATGGAGCAGTTTTGGCATTTAGGCCCACAGGTGAAACTTTTTGTTTGCTTCTCTTTTAAAGGTTTTTGTTTAAACTATTGGTAGGAAGAGTAAGGTTGCTCAGAGGAATTAGTTTTTCTTCTTTTGTTTTCAGGTTGGACTTACTCCGAGAAGATAGGTGAACACCTTGATCTGATAAAACCAACTTCAAGAGGGAATATCACCATTTATGGTGAGTTTGATTTTTTTTGTAATGCACATCCTCTATGAGCTATAGTGATATATAATGCACATAGTATCTGTTGGAATCCTACATCGAAAGTTTAAAGGGACCAACACTAATATATATAAGACTTGGGCCAATCCACTCATTGTCAATTGGTTTTGAGTTGGAAGCTCATATACCCAAAAAGAGTTTATTACTGATTCTAAAGTGGGATTCAATTCGAGATGGACTGATAAGAGTCATTATCTCGAGGGGCGTGTTGGAATCCCACATCGAAAGTTTAAAGGGACCAACACTAATATATATAAGACTTGGGCCAATCCACTCATTGCCAATTGGTTTTGAGTTGGAAGCCCATATAACTTAACAGTATCCAACTTTTGTTTCATTGATTGTTATCATCTTTCTAGGGGTTCCATATAGTGAGCATTCAAGCTTCACAGAACTTCGTGAGTTTGTTCAAGTGCGTACCAGAAATGTTGTTATCATCTATAAGTTTTACGCATCTTTTAGCATTAACTGATTTTTTTCTGTTACACAGTTTCTAAGGCCGGATAAGATTATTCCTACAGTGAACATCTCAAATGCTGAAAGTCGCGAGAAAATGCAGTCGTGTTTCAGAGAATGGCTCAGACGCTAAGATTCAACTCTAGGTTGATGGATGATTATTGGTTCCTGTAGGTGAGAAAATCAGTGGCTTTGGCCGTTTTATCTGTATCAACTTTTCTTTCCTTTTGTTGCAGTTTCTGAGTCCCAAAATATGCTGATCATTGAAGCTTTCAAGGGATGCTTGATGCTTCTGTAACATCTTAGTTGGTGAATGCAGCAAAATTTTCAAGTACTTGAAGGATTCATGATAGATATTCTTTAGTCCACAAGTCTTATTCTTAGTTACTCTCCTGTAATTTAGTTCAACTGGTTGTTTCTTCTAGTTATAGTAGTTGGGAATCAAGAGAGAGCAAAGAAACAATACTTTTCTACATTTACTTCTCTTTACCTAGAAGAAAGATTAGCATCAAGCTAAATTGTGCACCTCACGAGAGAAGCAAAAGCGAACCAGTTCAGATGAAAGAAGAGGCAAATCCAGTATCTGGTGAGACAGAGGATTGCCTTTAACCTCATTACAATAACTGAGCTTGTCGCTGAGAAGAGAACTCCGAAGCTACCTCCTACTGTTGTATCTGTTGTTCCTTCAGACAGCAAGAGGCTTAATACCCCAAAGACACACTGGAGCGCAGCAACATTGCCATTTCTGTTTTCTGTTGCTCAGTTCCATTGGTCTGTGAGTAATTACTGTCTTAAAATCTTTTGTCCTCGTACGGTTTGGTTGTTTCAGAGAGCATCTAAAACGATGGATCCTATGAGTATGAGTTAATACACGCTCTATTTATCTTTTCCTTTTGACATTCAAGTCACAGGGTAATAGGTGTCTTAAATCATTAGCTTCTCATGTCTTAACTTTGTTTACAGAAGAAGCTTTTTCAATAATCCAGAATGTATCATAATTTATACAATATATAATAACAGTTGACAAGTTTGATAAGCCTAAGAGAAATATGAAACTAATTAACTACAAAGCAGTACCGAGGATCGATTTGACGATCTCCTCGGTTTGAAATGCTGCTGGAAATGGCAAGAGAGTCTTCTTCCTTTGTCCTCCCTTCCTCTGTCATTACTCTTAGAAACTCTTCAAGAGCACTCTGCATCCACTCATACCGACACAGTTCCAAAGCTTCTTTAACATTCAGCTGTGCATTTACACAACCATCTCATCAGTCATTTATGTAACATACATACATATGACACAAGCAACGATTGTGCTTACCCATCTCCTCTCGCGGTTTTCTTGCTCTGGCCATGTCGTAAGCTCTTCCTTCACCTCTAACGCAAACATATATCCTTTGCATCCACCACCTAAGCAGCATTCAGCTTCCACGCTGCTACTCTTGCTTCTAAATTCCCAAACTCCTAATGGATCTTCCTATAGAGAACACCAAAAAGACAATCCAAATCTGACACAAATCTATACAAGAAACTTTCGGATCTGTGTTGTGTAACAGAAGACAAACTCTTAGTATTCCTTTAACTCCTGCTTCTTCCATGGCTTCACGAGAAGCTGCTTCGAGAACAGTCTCATCATCTTCCCATCCTCCCTGAAACAATACACAGAGTCATTAATAACATAGCACTTTGCATCATCTAGTTTCAAAAAGCATCAAAAATCAACAGTTCATTTAAGGAAAAGCAAAAAAAAAACCTTTGGGAAGACAAGATCGTGACGATTAGGAGATGAAACCATAAGAACTTGAAGCTTGTTTTCAAAGTCAACACCAGAGTCCTCCTCATCATTCACCAGCCTATATGGGATGCATCTGTCATCATATCAACACACGAACTTCTTCCAATTATTGCTTCTTCTTATATTGAAACTGAAGCAAACCAATCAAATCACAGCAAATCATATGAAGAACGATTCAAACACCAAAAGTCAACCATATTTTTATACCCAGAAACGAGACGGAAGTTGTTGTCATAACGTTGACGGTCTCGTCCAGTTCGTGCTGAAAGATTCGACATTTAATAAACCTGCGAAGATGAAAATCAACCCCAAATTAGAAAAAATAAAAAAAACACAGATTTATCTTTAAGACGACGAAGAAATCGAGAGAAGAAGAGGAGAAACTAAACTACGAAGAAAATGCAGCTCCTAAGCTATGAAAAACAAAAATCCAGTCTTTGTCTTATGATGTCAGCGAGAAACATCAGCATAGCTTCCATGGCGAATCATCTTGTTCAAAAAAGTTCATCTTTTTTTTTTACCCAGAACAAAAGATTCAACGAGAGAGAAGAGAGAAGAGAGAGAGAGAAACAAAGCTGAAACACAAACAAGAAAAAAAAAAATGGAAAAGAAAGGAACGGTTTTGGTTTGTTTGCCATCTAAAGGAAGGAAAAGCTGAGATTTTTCAGGGGGGACACATTTAAGAGCTGACGAAGGAGTGCATTCAATTCTTTAATAACCACCCATCTCTATTTCACGTTTCTGGAGTATATCATATTTTTAATACAATTTTTTTTCCATTTTCGATAACACTGTTACCAACTTTTATCAGGAAACCTTTTTTTTGTCAACTTGAATATATATTCCATTTCCACATAATGATAATTATGATATGATGAAACTTCGTGAGTCCCCCCCACATAAGAGTAAGAGTGTTTCTGTTTAGTTTAGTTAAAAACCGAACCATTCAAATCCGACATGGTGTACTTACAGTTGGAAAAAATGTTTATCAGCTGGTTCATATGAATCAAAATTGCTCACCATGGGTTTATTACATGAGCCAAAACCCAGATTAACAAAATAAGAACCATTTAGAACCAAGAGATAATTTTTGAGGCCCATCGTGATGATTTGCCCAAAAGAAGGAAGCCCATTAAAGAAGAAGCCCAACCATCGTTAGAAATATCCCCGACGAGAGAGGAAAACACACTGTCAGACAATCGCTGGCGAGAGAGATCGCGTCTCCAATGGAAACCAGTAATGCATTGCTAGCGAAGCGACTTGAGTTTCGTAAAGAGGAGATTCTATTCTTTGTCGTTAGATTTACTTGAGAGAGAAGAGAGTCAACAGGCCTGTGCCAAAATCTGCATTTCATAGCGTTCCAGGTGCGATCTTAAGCCATCCAATAACCAAAATCTTCTTAAGCGCAGAATTTCTGGATTGGAGCATCCAAAATAGTTTGGATTGAGCAAGTCTTGATCCATGCTTGAAGGTTTCTCACGCCCAGATCATCCTCCCTCCTGTTTCGCAGTGGTGACATTTTCCCCAAGAGACTCGCGATTCAATTTGCCTGGATGCAGCACTGGCGAAGCAAAGGTGAGTCTCACACACACTCTTTGATCCAAATTGATATAGGCTTGAGGAAGCTGCAAAGCATATAGAACATTGCGTTAAGAAGTCCCAATTGATTGAATCAAAAAGCTTTGGCAATGTCTATTTTTAAAAGTCATTCTCTTTTCTGGCCTTTATTTGTAGATTAGGGTTGTAGAGAGTATTGCAGCATGAGATGTGCCCATAATATTTTGATCACTGAAAGCTCCAGGAAATTTTGGGATCAAGGTAAGAAGAATAGTAGACTTGGTACAGAGGCACTGAATTGTTACTTGAAGAATAAGTTGGTTGCACTAAGAACTTCATCACCAATATATGACCATGCAGCGAGAGAGAGAGTAGATCTCTCTGAAGCCGTACAGTGAACTCTGGTGAGAGATAGTAGGGCTGACATGAAACTCCGAGTAGAGGAAGAGGCAGGGGGACCCAGGATATTCTTGAAGTGGGTGCTTCGAAGCCATCAGGACCTGTTAAGGTTATGCACCGTATTGAAAGCATTTCTGGCCTTAGTGACTTTGTGGTAGAACGGTGTATTCTGGTCTCCATTGTGAAGGCCAGTTAATCCTGGATCTTTGTTTAACGTACTCCTCTTTTGTACTTCGCAGGAAAGCAAGCTTTTCTGGAGCTTGTCTCTCAGCAAGAAAATTGCAAGAGTTGGGCTGCTGGAGAGATAGTAGCGGAGCATTCATCATAACACAAGTAGCCTCACCAACTCTTTTTTGAATATCTGAGAAGTTGTCATTATTTAGATCCTCAAGAGCTCTTCTCAGTTCCTTTTGTTTTTGCATTAACGAGGTAAGGCAATGATTTTGCTGAATCTGTGATTTCCCAGGATGCAGTGACCGCTGGTAAGAAATCCGGGTGCGAGGTCAAGTTATTGAACACAACTTGAAAGGCTTATCAAGCGTATGATCAGAGATTTCTGAGGCCAAGAATTTTGCCAAAGTTACGAGGGAAAGAGGTAAGCCAGTTCTCATTTATAATACTTCTGTCTAATTTCTTTGCAACCGGCTGGTTATTACTTATTAGGTATATTTAGCACCATGATACACAAGGTCTCTCATCTCATTTCCAACTGATCTGGTTATTGGTGAAAGTTAACTACTGTAAAGTTTGTATTACGGAAGATCCTTCAACTATATTCCGTATATTATCAGCTTTCCTTATTATAACAATCAAATATCTCTCTGTAGTTATTACATTTCCTTGTGCGAGTACGAATCTGATAGAATTAGGTGATAAAATATTGATATAATTACTAATTGTGAATTAGATAAATGGATATATAGAACAGTTAAATAAGGAAACTCGTAGGATCTTCCGTTAGATTTTGCTTGCTATCTTAGCCATTTTATTTGCGTATATATATGTAGAGCAGAAGATCGCATTTTCTTCATCTCCAAGCATCCTCTGTTTTTTTACTTCATCTGTTTCTTCGTTCTCTGTTTTTCAGATTCCTCAGTTTTCTCATGGCTCCACTTAACGATTCTCTGGCATCAATCAACGATGTCATCGAATCCAAACCAAACTGTTTTAGCCTCTCCCAAGGGATTCTTCGTGCCAAAGAATCTTCTCCAATCCTCTTCGATGTTCCTCAAAACCTAACTTTCACACCATATCCATCTCACTCCATACCCACTGATGCTCCTCTCCCAATTCTCCTCCGTGTTCAAGCCAACGCTCACAAAGGAGGGTTTCTCGGATTCACCAAAGATTCACCTTCCGAGCTTCTCACAAACTCCTTGGGGAGATTCGAAAACAGAGAGTTCCTCAGCGTTTTCCGGTTCAAAATGTGGTGGTCAACGGCTTGGATCGGGAAATCCGGGTCGGATCTTCAAGCCGAGACTCAATGGGTGATGCTAAAAATTCCTGAGATCGATTCCTATGTGGCCATCATACCAAGCATAGAAGGATCTTTCAGGGCTGCACTTAACCCTGGTGAAAAAGGTAATGTCTTGATCTCTGCAGAGAGTGGCTCTACTCAAGTAAAAGAGTCAGCTTTCAACTCCATTGCCTACATTCACATTTGTGACAATCCTTATAACCTCATGAGAGAGTCTTTTAGCGCCCTTCGTGTCCATATGAACACTTTCAAGCTTCTAGAAGAGAAGAAGCTTCCGAAAATCGTCGATAAGTTTGGATGGTGCACTTGGGATGCTTGCTACCTGACTGTTGACCCTGCAACAATTTGGACCGGTGTCAAGGAGTTTGAAGAAGGAGGTGTATGTCCCAAGTTTGTCATCATTGATGATGGATGGCAAAGCTTTGATGGTGATGAGCCAGGCAAAGACGCAGAGAATCTTGTTCTTGGCGGAGAGCAGATGACTGCGAGGCTTCACAGCTTCAAGGAATGTAAGAAGTTTAGAAACTATAAAGGTGGATCCTTTTTAGCATCTGACGCATCTCACTTCGACCCTCGCAAACCGAAGAGGATCATATACAAAGCCACCGAGCGGATTCAAGCCATTATAGAAAAACAGAAGTTGGTTCGTGAATTTGGGGAACAAGATCTACCCCAACTTGACGAAAAGATCAACAAGTTTAGCGAAGAGCTCAATGCAATGTTTGATGAAGATGGGAAACACGAGTCTTTGGGTTCTGAGGATGTTTCAGGCTCAGGTATGGAAGCTTTCACAAGGGATTTGAGGTTAAGGTTTAAGAATTTAGATGGTATATATGTCTGGCATGCTCTATGTGGTGCTTGGAATGGTGTTAGGCCTGAATGCTTAACGCATTTGAATTCCAAGGTTGTTCCTTTTGAGATTTCACCTGGTCTAGATGCTGCAATGACTGATCTCGCCGTCGATAGGATTGTGGAAGCCGGGATTGGTCTTGTTCACCCTTCCAAAGCTCATGAATTCTATGATTGAATGCACTCTTATCTTGCTAGTGTTGGAGTCACAGGAGCCAAGATTGATGTTTTTCAAGTAAGTTGTTACATTACTTTTCACTATGTTTCTTACATTCTATGTTTCTTCTTCTGTTCATTTACGATTTGTTGTTCTTGTGCGTGTGTGGTTTCAGACCTTAGAGTCGGTAGCAGAAGAACATGGAGGAAGAGTGGAACTTGCTAAAACTTACTACGGTGGCTTGACCAAATCCATGGTTAAGAATTTCAATGGAACTGAAATCATTGCTAGTATGCAACAGTGCAATGAGTTCTTCTTCCTTGCCACAAAACAAATCTCTATCGGCAGAGTTGGTAATTACATATAGAACATATAAATTGTTGCCCTTCTTTTTTTTACCTCTATTGTTTCCTATAACTTTTAAAAGCCTAATCAAAGGTGTTGTGAATTTTGATCAGGTGATGACTTTTGGTGGCAAGACCCACATGGTGACCCGCAAGGAGTGTATTGGCTACAAGGACTACACATGATTCATTGTTCTTACAACAGTTTTTGGATGGGTCAAATGATTCTACCAGATTGGGACATGTTCCAATCAGATCACGTCTGTGCCGAGTTCCACGCCGCGTCTCGAGCCATCTCTGGTGGGCCTATCTACCTCAGTGACCATCTTGGCGAAGCCTCGCATAACTTTGACCTCATCAAGAAACTCGCTTTCTTTGATGCTACCGTCCCGAGGTGTCTCCACTATGCTCTTCCCACTAGAGATACTCTCTTCAAGAACCCTTTGTTTGACAAAGAATCAATCCTCAAGATCTTCAACTTCAACAAGGTAATCAGTTCAAAACCAAAATCAAATGTTTACAGATCGGGACTTTGTTAAAGTGACACATGATTTTCTGCAGTTTGGAGGAGTGATTGGAACATTTAACTGTCAAGGAGCTGGATGGAGCCCGAAGGAGCATAGGTTCAAGGGATACAAAGATTGTTACAAGACTGTTTCAGGAACAGTTCATGTCTCGGACATCGAATGGGATCAAAACCCAGAAGCTGCAGGTTCTCAGGTGAGCTACGCTGGAGATTACTTGGTCTACAAGAAGCAATCCGAGGAAATCCTTTTCATGAACTCTAAATCACACGCTATCGAGATAACGCTAGAGCCATCTTCGTATGATCTGTTCAGTTTCGTGCCAGTCACGGAACTAGGAAGGTCAGGGCTTAGATTTGCACCTCTAGGGTTGATCAACATGTTCAACTGTGTTGGAACAGTTCAAGAGATGGACGTTACTGGTGATAACGGCATTAGGGTTGTCTTGAAAGGCGAAGGAAGATTCATGGCGTATTCCAGCTCTGCTCCAAAGATTTGTTACTTGAACGACAAGGAAGCTGAATTTGAGTGGGAAGAAGAAACTGGTAAACTCAGTTTCCACGTTCCTTTGGTTGAAGATTCTGGTGGCATCTCTCATCTCTCTTTCACCTTCTAAGAATTGTTTAACCAGAAATTGGGTGTTTAAATCCGAATTTCTGTTTGGTTTTTATTTATCTTTTAATTTGGAGAATCATTAAGCAACTTATTTGGTATGTTATCATCAGTGAATGATTATTTAAGTAGATGATTGCTTCAGTACACATATGAACATAAGTTAGTCAGAACTTTCAAATATGTTGTGTCTACTACGCACAGGCACCTATGAATCCTAAAGGAATATGGCGAGCAAGTTGACCCGGTTTGATTCGTTGGTATCTTGCTTTTTTAGTAGCCGCATAACAAACCGGCAAAATCACAGACAAATTCGGAGTACTGAACGAGCCCAATAAATTGGCTAGAAAGCCCATTTATCTTGTATACGATTGATTAAACCCACATTAACTTATTGGGCCGTTAGAGTGGGATACAAGGTTGGTGCAGACTTTGATTGATTATTTTTCAGTCACTTTTCAATCATTTCAATTTGTATGATTTATTCATGATGACCACGACCGCCGCTTCAATCATTGGTCTCCTTTCAAAATTTCAATTTTTTTTTTGTTTTATAAATTGGTGGAGAGAGAGAGAGAGAGAAATAAAATAAAAAAATTCAAGACAAACGTTAAACGCAGATTGTGATGATACATAGAAAAACGCGAAACGCCGATCGTGGAAATTGTGAGTTGAAACATTAGCGTCAGTAACTAACGGGTATATAAGAGTAGAAGCAAATGTCTATACAGCTGGCTTGTGGGTCCTGTGACCCCACCTTTTACCCTGTCGATGTAGAATGTGGTCCTACTCCTAATTATTTATTTCGTCAAAAAGTGAGTTTGTTGAATTTTATATTTAAAGAACATTTTATGAATGTTTGTTCGCTGGATATCTATTTGTCATTAATAACAACGTTAATTATTTTATTTTGCTTTCTAATCAGTACTATTTTTTATAATAGTACCAGTTAAAACGACAGTAGTTCATAGTTTTATTAAAAGATATAAATTTGTCTTTTTCGATTATAGTGGTTACGTTTAAGTTGAGTAGAAAAATTCAAAATTATGACGTCATTAATTTTTTAAAAAAATTATGCAGAATTGTGAATAACAAAAAAGGTTTAAAATGATTAAGTGAAATGTTGATTGAAGTAACAAAGCCTCAATTTCAGTAAAAATATGATTAATATCATCACATTCTATCTATAAAAAGATTTTTTAAAAAACCTTAAATCAACTGTAAAAGTGATGTAATGACATAATCATTTTTTCTTATGAAGAGAATAACAGAGTAATGATAGAGAAGCAGTGATTCTAATGTATATTGGTCGATAGAAAAATACTCCAATCAAGAATTATAAAATTCTGGTTTGTTATAAATTCCCAACTATCATTGGTTGCTTATTAATTTTTTGTGCAACAAACCTAGTGACATTCAAGTAAAAAAAAAAAAAAAAATTAAGTCTAACATTTAAGTAAAATCTCGAGACATTAATTAATGCAATAAAAATAAGCCGTTTAAAGGAAATAAAACATGCGAAAAAAGGAAGAAAGAAAAACAGAGAGATTTGCGGAGTAAATAAAAAGAGGAGAAGCAGAGACAGAGTGGTGTGTGTTCGTCTGTTTAGCGGCGGCGGAAACTGCGTTTCACGGCGGTTTAAGTTCCTCCTTCTTCTTCTTTCTTTTTTTTTGTTTAAACCAAAAAAAATCCCTTTCGCTGTAATTGCAAACTGGCGAAGTGACCCACTTGCTTCTCTTGTCTTCAAAGGTTCTCTTTTTATTCCTCTTTTCCCCAAATTAAACAATGGGTTTTGGTTGTTGGAGAAGAGTAAAAACTCTGTAAATGTCAATTCTTCGAAAGTCATCTCTCAAACTGAAAAAAAAAAAAAAACGTTAGTAATAGTTTTGATTGTTGTTGTTGTTGTTGTTGTTGCTGCTGTTTCTCATTAAGTAAATTTCAGTCTTAAGAGAGAGAGAGAGTTGTTGTCTGCGCGATGTCACTTTCTGTCGGCATTGTCTGCGTTCCGACACAAGACTTGATTTCTTCTTCTTCTCTTCTCCCCTTTACCTTCGAGTTCTAGAAACTGCGGCGGAGATTTGATTTTTCGAAGCTCCTCTTCTTCTTGAAATCTCTTTTCTATTTTCACACTACAATCTTCTGGTTTTTCGTTGGTCTTTTTCATTTCTTCATAGTCTGATTAAGAAAAAAAAGAGAAACAAAAAAACGCAATTTGACTCTTGATTCTGCCGATTTAGGAATTTTCTCACGCTCTCATTCAATGTTGTTGGAGGGGAAAAAACGTGGGGAGTCACGCCGTCGATTCTGGATGTTGTGATATTTATCCGCCGATGAGAAGTTGAGATTTCCTGGAGATCTGTCAAGGTTTTTTAATAAAAATCTTCTCTCCCTCTTTAAGAACTTAGTTACTGCATGTTTGAATGATTGATTCAAAAAGAATCCTATTCAATTTTACAACTTGTCACCTTTTTTTTTCCCTGCCTCTTAACAAAAAGATTTATGTTATATCCACACAAGCCTTGTTTGCTTTTCGTTTTGTCTTGTCTTGTCTTCATCTTCATCTTCTTCTTCTTCTTCTTTTTTTGTCGCCGACATTCTCGTGTGTTTTCTCTACAGGGTTTTATCGCATGGTAGTAGCTTGGAGTATCGCAGAGAGAAGAGAGTATTGTGTTTACAAATGTCAGCAAATCTTGCAGCAGCCATTGGAGGTGCTGTAGGATCTCTTGCATTGATTGCTCTGTTGGTTTTTTTCCTATGGTTTTGCATCTTTCGTCGCAAGAATCTGTCGAGAACTTCTGAGACAGGCTCTTCTGATCCATCAACTCAAGGTATATCAATCACAAATCCCATCAATTCATCAATTGCTCTCTCTCTCTCTCTCTCTCTGTCTCTCTCACTTGACTTTCTTGGATGATACCTAAATGATTTAAACTTTGTTCCTTTTTGGTGTGTGTTTTCAGAAGGAAGAAATGTTGCAATTGAGATGTCAATGAGAGAAGCTAGAAGGTTTGAAATGGAGGAGCTTGCTCAAGCCACCAAGAGTTTTACCAATAAAAGCCTCATAGGTATTGGCAAATTCGGCGAGGTTTACAAAGGTTTGCTTCAAGACGGTGTTCTTGTGGCAATCAAGAAAAGGCCCGGCTTGCCTACGCAAGAGTTCGTTAACGAGGTTTTCACAATAAATCCTTTTGTTTCAGTGTTTTTGGTTATGGAAGTAGAACAAAGTGTTTTTGTGAGGCTTACAAGATATTTGGGAAAAAATTGTTTTTTTTTCTTTTCAGGTTCGTTATCTATCCTCTATCCATCACCGTAACCTTGTTACTCTTTTGGGTTATTGCCAAGAAAGCAACACGCAGTTTCTTGTCTACGAGTATGTTCCTAATGGAAGTGTTTCCAGTCACCTGTACGGTAACTCTCTGTCCTTAAATAGAGATATTAGTGCTATTCTCATTTGGTAATGATAACTGCGTTTCAGACAATGTAAAGCATCGTTTGGGTCATGTCTTCTTATTAGGTGCTGGTGGTAAAGTACCTGGGAATAGGCTAGAATTCAGAAATAGGCTTGCCATATCTATAGGAGCAGCTAAAGGTAGACTCTCTGCAAAAGCCTTGAGAAGTTTAGCTCATTGATTCAAATGAGTTCTTGTTTACTGATCTTTTTACCATCTTTCAATCTCTAGGCTTGGCACATCTTCACTCGCTGAGCCCTCGATTGATACACAAGGACTTTAAAACAGCTAATGTTCTTGTGGACGAAAACTTCATTGCTAAAGTTGCGGATGCAGGAGTCCGTAATTTCTTGGGAAGAGAGGATGTTGGTACATCATCTCACGTTGTTGCAGACCAGATTTTCCTATCTCCAGAGTAAAATTCAACTTTTTTACCTTTTGAGTCTCACATTTTTTCACTTTTATCTTTTTGCATCCAAGTTTCTCAGATTATTCCCTCTCTTTTTTTTGCAGAGTTCAAGAGTTCAGAAGATTTTCAGAGAAAAGTGATGTCTATGCTTTTGGGGTATTCCTGTTGGAGTTAGTGAGTGGAAGAGAAGCATCAGAACCATCCCCTTCAAGCTCAACACAAACTCTAGTCGAATGGGTATGTACTGAATCAGAAGAATTTCAAAATATTGGCAATGAAAATCTGTTTTGAGTTCTCACTTGTATCCACTGGAGTTGCAGATGCAAAACATAACGGATTATGTGGAGATACCCGCCATGATCGATGAGAGGCTAGGCGGTACATACACAGCAGAAGGAGTGGAGGAGGTTATTACACTGACACTGAGATGTCTTGATGTTTCAAGTGAGAAGAGACCAACAATGAGTCATGTTGTGACAGAGCTTGAGAGAATATTGGACAAAGAAGTGAGCTTAACTACAGTAATGGGTGAAGGTACTCCAACTGTTACTCTTGGAAGTCAGCTTTTTAAAGCATCAAAGTGATTCAAAAGGAGCCATCTTTACACATATATATATATACTTATTTATATATAAGTTCTCTGAGACAAAAAAAAAAACTAATCGGAGAACTTAAGAGGAGTAAGAGGAGGAAGACGAAGAAGAAGAAGAAAGACTGATCAGCTGTTTTGTGTTAAGTGTATAAAGAACAGCTGAACTATTAATATTATTCGTTTGTTATTTTTTTTTTCTACTCCTTTTTTTACTTCATTTGGAGTTTATTTTCAGCAATTTTTTTTTGGCAAGAGTGCAGAAAATATAACTTTGTAAAAACATTATTTATTGATATAAAGGAAGCAAAGAGTGGAATGTTGTGTGATTTTTTTGTTGTATTACTGTTGTTGTTACAACTATTGTTACTCCCTGTCTCATTAAATATAAAGTTTTGGACCCAAAACTTACAGTTTACTTTCTCTACAAACTGCAATAAGTTTGGACCAAACCAAGTTGGTCTTGATGAAAAAGATTCCAATTTGGTAACTATTGAACTAGCAGAAGATGATAACTCCCTGTTTCAAGAACCCTACTTATTATGTTTGGACCAAAAAATCCAGAGTTACTTTTTCTATAAAGTAAGCAATTTTAGGGGGGAAAATTGACCTTTAGCTTCAACCTACCTATGCTTTAGCCTTTATTGCCAAAGAGATAACACAACCAAGTTGGTCCAGCAAAAATTTGATCAAAGATTCCAATTCCAATTGGTAGTGAGAAATTTGTCAAGCAACTCTGTCTTTTTTTTTTTTTTTTTTTTTGTCTCTAATAAGATTCTTGCATCCCTTTCTCACTGACTTATTGCAAAATTGACTCAATGAACTGTCTTTTTTCTCTTCTTTTTTCTATTAATTACTGTCCCTAGTTTTGCTAAAACCTTTGTGGGCACACGGAACTATAAACAGTCTTTGAACAGATACCAAAAATCGAAATCATGTTTGGGTCTGATTTTATGTCGGGAGGAAAGATCTAATGATAAAGACTCTTCTTCTGTAGATTGGTGAAATCGTAAATGATGGTGGGTCTCGTTTATATCTTCCAGATCTTGACCTCACGAAGAAAAGAAATAAACATTACTGTTGAGTGAAGCTCACATAGCAAAAAAAAAACAGAGATTGTCTTACAGAGAAACAGAGCTTAGGTACTTTAGCCACACACAAAAAAACAGAGCTTATGTAATTTGCAACGACGTCATAAATTTTACTAATAAAAATCATTTTTCAAAAACAAAATAGCGAAAAAAACGAGAACCACTCGATTTTGGATAGACTCGTTTACACACACACGATCATGTAAAGGATTAAGCTTTTTTTCTGGGCCATTGAGAAGAAGCTTTTTAGCTCTCGAGAATGGCGACGAAGCTGATTTCTCCGCCGTTGTCTTGTCCATGGGTGACTTCAAGGGACGTAGTAATCAAAGGGCTTCTTCCACGGAGGAGACGGGAATGTCTAACGAAGAGGAACAACAGAGTCTCCGCCATGATTGTGGAGCCTCTTTCGGCTGTTTCTTCATCGGCGATTCAGATTCATCAATGGTGGGAGCAAAACCCTACTTCATTACTGTTAATGGCTGAGACTGGTGGTGGTTATTCTTTGGCTAGCTACTACACGTCTTTGGGTTTGTTCGTTATTTCAGTTCCAGGTCTTTGGTCTCTCATCAAACGCTCTGTTAAATCAAAGGTTGGAACTTTTCGAATTCCTCGTCCTCAATTCCCAATTTTTTTAAAGCTCAAATCCAATGTGGGTGGTTTTATTTCAGATAGTGAGAAAGACGTTCGTTGTTAGCGAAGGAGAAGGAATCAAGAAGGAGCCAAAGCAAGTTGCTGGAGAGATTCTCTCCTTCTTCACAAGGAAGAATTTCAACATCACTGATCGAGGAGAAACAATCACGTAAGCTAATTAAAAACAAAAAAAGTTCCAAATTTTCATATGGGTTTCTCGTTTAATTACTGATCAATTGTTTATGTGATTCTGACAAAAATAAAAGGTTTGAAGGAAAGATGGTTCCAAGTAGAGGGCAAGCTGCATTACTCACATTCTGTACATGTATAAGCTTAGCAAGTGTGGGACTTGTCCTAACAATTACAGTGCCTGATGTTGGAAACAATTGGTTCTTCATTACCATTCTCAGTCCACTCGCGTAAGCCTTCTCTCTCTCTCTGAAAGTGTTTGTGAGACTTGTGTGAGTGATGATAAGGATTAATGATTGGTGATGATGGATGTGTTGCAGAGGAGCGTATTACTGGAAAAAGGCGTCGAGGAAAGAGGAGATAAAGGTGAAGATGATGGTTGGAGAAAAAGGGAGTTTGAGTGAGATTGTGGTTCAGGGAGATGATGTACAAGTTGAAGAAATGAGGAAGGAGCTTCAGCTTAGTGAGAAAGGCATGGTTTATGTCAAAGGTCTCTTTGAGAGATCGTGAAAAGTGAAAAAAAAAACATTTTCACCCTCCAATTTTGCTTTTTTGGGGAATGTGTTTATAACAACTGTTTAAGGATGAGATTATTACAATTAAATGACCCATTGACTCATTTTAGTACGTCGTACTTCATAAATGAATCGGTTTACGTCAAAATGGGATAAGGTCATATGAGGATGTATCATGTATTATCATGTATCATTATTTGGTTAGAATAGTTTTCTTTGTTTTTTTCTTTTTGAACGTTGTGGTTTATATTTTTCTTTATGCTTTGCGTTTCGATCTGTAAGTTTTTTGAAACTGTAATCTTATATTGAAAACTGTAACCTTACATCAGAAAACTTATAGGACCGATTTATAAGTTTTTTGAAATTGTGATTTTACGTTAAAAACTGTAACCTTACATCGGAAATGAGGAGCATGAGTAGGGTCTTGTTGCTCAGCGGCATAGGCTGGTAGATCCATATATTGATCATATATTCATATATTGTTTCACAACATATGATTGCAGCAGTAGATCCATCTGTATCTAAGCTAGAGAAAAAAACACTTTCAGATTAATTTTGTTTGCTTAGGAAAACAATAAAACTAAAGGATAAAAATCAAAGTAACTTTTTTCAAACTTAATCTTTGTCAAAAAAAAAGACAACCGCAATGTATCATTGATTGAACAATTTGTTTTTGTTTTTTGTTTTCCAATCAAATTGAATCTTTGTTTCCCAGTTAGATTATAGTAGAAAATTGTTTTTTGCCCAAATTATTTACATCATAGACTATATAGCCGATCAAAATAAGATTTTATTAAAAATAAATAGAACAATTTGTTTATTATGGATTTTTGTTGTGTATAAAACATTAAATGTGTAGACTATAAATGTATCAAAGTGTATATGCAATTAACATTAGTGAAATCTCAAATAAATCATTCCATTGTGAATATTTTTATTTTATAAAATGGCAATTGAAAATGATCAAGGTTCATGCATATTGCATTGTGTTGATATAAATTGAACAAACCAACAGGCTTCAAAAATGGGCTTGTACTTGATTTGAGTTGGGCTCAGACTATTTCGATCCGCGAGAAATAAGGATTCCATCTCTCTCTCTGCTAATTTGTACTGCATTTTTAGCAGAGAACTCATCATTCAATTTCCTCTGGGAGAAAAAAATCATCACCATCATTCGATTTGGCTTGCAATAATTTTTCATCAAAACATGGACCATTGATCACTTCTCCCACAAGCAACTTCAACAGCTTAATTAACAAATTATTGATATTTCTTGTATATTTTAATTGTCTCTTATTGGTTGGAAGTGGATAAAGTCGATATATATCTCTATCAAAATAAGTAATTAAATTAAATTATCAGAAGAAGAAGAGGAGTGATAGTGATTAGATTACTGAGAAAACAAACGTCACTTTTGATTCTTCTTCACGCGCGTCTCTCTTCTCCTTCCTTTACAAAAACACTCGTCTACACATTGATCTTCACGCTCTTCTCTCTCTCTCTCTTTCTCTCTGTAGTCTTCTTCTTATGCTTCTCCTTCCTCGAGAGCTCTCGCGTCCATGGCGGTCAAATGTTTCCTCTCCTTTTATCTCTACCTGTTTCTGGCGACGATTGTAATCGGCGGCGTTCACTCCGAGTACATAGAGTACAACACAACACCGAGAATCGTCCCTGAGAAGATCAATGTTCACTTGGTTCCTCACTCACACGACGACGTTGGCTGGCTTAAGACCGTTGACCAGTACTACGTCGGCGCCAATAACTCCATTAGGGTACTTCTCTTCCTTTATCTCTCTCTCTCTCTCTCTTTCAATGGAAGTAGAAGAAGAATTGGATTCTGCGATTTTAGGGCTTGATTTTGTTGTGGAATTGATTGAACAGGGAGCTTGTGTTCAGAATGTATTGGATTCTGTCATCGCTTCGTTGCTGGACGATCAAAATAGAAAATTCATTTATGTTGAAATGGTAAGATTCAGAGAATACCAAAAACGGAAATTTCCTTTTGTCTTGCATGATGAAGTTAGTTTTGTAACTTTGACTATTGTTTTAGGCATTCTTTCAAAGATGGTGGAGGCAACAAAGCAATGCCAAGAAGGTTAAGGTCAAGAAGCTTGTTGACTCTGGTCAACTTGAGTTCATGTGCGTTTGATTGACCTTACTTTTTTTTTGTGTTTCTTCTTCTTCTTCTTGTGTCTTGTATGTATCTGAGTGTTTTCGTTAGTCTTGATGTGTGGTTTTTTTTTTGCAGAAATGGTGGAATGTGTATGCACGATGAGGCTACTCCACATTATATAGACATGATTGATCAGACAACACTAGGCCATCAGTTTATCAAAACTGAGTTTGGTCAGGTCCCCAGAGTCGGCTGGCAAATCGATCCCTTTGGACATTCTGCAGCGCAAGCTTACTTGCTTGGGGCAGAGGTATAGTTTGTTCATCGTTTGGTTTCTTTCCCCAGCTTATATCAGCTCAATATATGTTTGATTGGGACAGCGCTTTGGTTTCTTCTGCAGCTAGGCTTCGACTCACTGTTTTTCGCTAGAATTGATTACCAAGATCGTGCAAAGAGACTAAGAGAGAAGACACTTGAGGTTATTTGGCAAGGTTCCAAGTCCCTAGGCTCATCTTCGCAGGTTAAAACCATCGAAACACACATTATAGTTACAGTATGTTGTTTCCATTGTTTTTTTTAGCTGGCTTTGTCTCACTTCGTAGTTGAGGTTACTTGTAGATATTCACCGGTGTATTCCCAAGACATTATGACCCTCCTGATGGTTTCGTATTTGAGATAAATGATGTATCACCTCCTATTCAGGTAAAGGCAAGCAGTTGGACATGATGTTTCTGTTTGAACTTTGCTTGAATATGTACTGATAAAGCATCTTGGAACACAGGATGATCCTCTCCTTTTTGACTACAATGTTCAAGAGCGAGTCAATGATTTTATTGCTGCAGCCCTTGCACAGGTAAAGATCTTATAGTTTTCTTCTTGAAATTTAGCAAAAATAAAAGAAGTTTTTGATATGATATGTCTTATATTTTTGACTTGGATTTTTCATGTCAAGGTCAATGTGACCAGGACTAACCACATCATGTGGTTAATGGGAACTGACTTCCGCTATCAGTATGCATACTCATGGTACAGACAGATGGATAAGTTTATTCATTATGTTAACAAGGTACACTTGCTTTTTATACTAGCAAATTCATATCAGTTTGATTTTACTAGTTTGAAGGTAAAAGAGATACCAATCTTTATTCATTTGTCATTTGCACAATTCAGGATGGGCGTGTCAATGTTCTGTATTCGACACCTTCTATCTACACCGATGCAAAATATGCTGCAAACGAGTCGTGGCCCCTCAAGACTGATGATTTCTTCCCGTGAGTTTAATAGCTCCGGTATAACTCTCTGAAAATCTAAATGTGTGTTAATTAGATAAATAATGCATGTACTTGTGCCAGGTACGCGGACAAACCTAATGCATACTGGACAGGGTACTTTACGAGCAGGCCAGCATTTAAAATATATGTGAGGGATCTAAGCGGTTACTATCTGGTATGGCTTAATATTTTTCTGAAAGTTCATAGATTTGTGGTTTCTTTTTCTTTCATTCTTACATGGCCTCGTTTATTTTTAAACAGGCGGCTCGACAATTGGAATTCTTGAGAGGTAGGAGTAGTTCAGGACCAACAACCGATATGCTAGCCGATGCTTTGGCAATTGCTCAGCACCATGATGCAGTTAGTGGTACACAAAGACAGCATGTGGCTGCAGATTATGCTCTTAGACTCTCAATGGGTTACTTGCAGGTGCTTTTTAGTTAGGCATCTTATGTGTATATAATGCAACCCTTTTCTCTTGTTGCTGCAGCGGTTTAATAATTTCTGTATGATCATTACTAGGCGGAGAAGTTGGTTGCCTCTTCCCTTTCCTTTTTATCAGCAGTAAAATCAAGTACTGAAGAGAAGAATCCCGGCACAGAGTTTCAGCAGGTAATGTGCCTTTTTAGGATTTTTCTAGTATTCAAATAATACTATGACCGTGTTAAAAGAGTTCAGAAGACGTCAAGATCAAATTTGAGTGGTTATTATTATCGGTTTCTCAAAAGATGCTCTTGCTTCTGGCAACATAATTTTTTTCTTCAGTAGGCTGCTTTTTAGCATATTAATGAACAGTTTAAGGACTCAAGTTCCAAACACTTATTGTATTCTAATGAGTTAAGCTGATTCTTATCTTGTGCATCATATCGGCAGTGTCCTCTGCTTAATATCAGTTACTGTCCTGCTTCTGAAGCTCGTTTGTCCAGTGGGAAAAGCCTGGTAAGTCTTTCAGGCAGGCTTACTTTCAGTCTGTGAAGTCTTGGACCTCTTGATAGTTGTTCTGTCTTCTGCTCACATTATTCTCTACTTGTAGGTGGTTCTTGTTTACAACTCTCTAGGATGGAAACGAGAGGAAATTGTCCGAGTTCCTGTAAGGGTCTTTAATCTCCTTGGTTGATCAGTGCAGCTCTCACTTTATCGTTGTTTATTATCCAGCATTTACCAAAATGTACGTGATAACTTCTTTCAGGTATCATCTGAAAATGTTATCGTGAAAGATTCATCTGGGAATGAAGTCGTGTCTCAGCTTCTACCTCTTTCAGACATCACATTGAGGATAAGAAAGGAGTATGTCAAAGCGTACCTGGGAATATCACCAAGGGACACTGCAAAACATGTGCTTGCATTTACAGCTTCAGTACCACCTCTTGGGTTCAGCTCGTATGTCATCTCAGACACTGGACGAACAGGTTAGCTATGTTCCAGAATGTGTACAATTTCATGTGTTCTGGCTGTACTAGCCATGACAACTGGTTCCTCACTGGTACCAACGGACATTTTGTATTTATTTGCATCTTCGTTTTCTAATTTGATTTAAGCGCGTGGGCTATCTGCATCATATGTTACTTCTGGAAGCGTGGATCAAAATGTAGAAGTTGGCCAAGGAAATCTAAAGTTACTCTATTCGGAAGAGGGAGTGAAGATGACTCGTCATTTAAGTACTACAAATCAGGTGTGCGTTTTTAAAAATCTAAACTTCCCTAATTTTTCATCCGATTGAACATCATCTGATGTTGATTTGGGGTAAAATTTAAGGTTACTGCAGAACAGTCATATGCTTATTACATTGGAAGCAATGGAACTGACAAGGATCCACAGGTAGCTCAGCTCTCTAACAGAAACAATCTTATCTACTTAGCTATCTTCTTGTTGTGTTTTAAACCGTTCTCATATATTTTCAAGGCTTCTGGAGCTTACGTTTTCCGACCAGATGGTGCACTTCCAATTAAATCCGAAGGAAATGTAATATCTATCAGCTGCATCTGTAACCTTTTTTCCTGACCGTATGTGAAAATATGAAGAAAAATCTCTTTCCTGACTCAGGCTGGATTGACCGTTGTTCGGGGACCTTTGTTTGATGAAGTGCACCAGGAGTTTAACTCTTGGATCTCACAGGTCTTTTCCCTCGAACAGTTACATAAAATTACAGAAGCTACAACTGCTTGTAACATCTTGTGACGGGTCTGTTAATTTGCAGATTACGAGAGTGTACAAGGGAAAAGACCATGTTGAAATTGAGTTCACTGTAAGCTGATCTCTCTTTATGTTTACATTTCTTCCTGTTAAACTGATGAAGACCATTTCAGTATTATTTAATTCCTGCTTTCTAGGTTGGGCCTATACCAGCTGATGATGGTAATAGCAAGGAGGTAATCACCAAACTTACAACCACCATGAAGACGAACGGGACATTTTACACAGACTCTAATGGTCGCGACTTCATCAAGCGGGTATAGATGCAAACTTCATGTGTCTAGTGATTATCTTTTCTTTTGTAACGACTGTATTGTTTTTTTTATTGTAACGCACTTTGTTTTATTTTTTGCAGGTTCGGGACTTCAGAACAGACTGGGACTTGCAAGTGTACCAACCAGTTGCTGGGAACTATTATCCTGTTAGGCATCAAATGCATCTGAGATTCCTTTGCGTGATACTAAGATCTTTTAGTATTTGCATTATATATGCTTTTTGTCTAACATTTTCTTTTCTTCCAGATAAATCTCGGAATATACATGCAAGACAAAACCTCAGAGCTATCGGTGTTGGTGGATCGCGCTGTAGGTGGATCCAGCTTAGAGAATGGCCAGATCGAGTTGATGCTTCATCGGTCTGTCTACTAATTTTCTCTGTATAACCAAGACACGCTTATGTTGTTTTGCTTGTGTTTTACCTTCTTGTTTTGTCATTCGTGTAGGAGAATGCTTCATGATGACATTAGAGGTGTTGGCGAAGTTCTTAATGAAACAGTCTGTCTCCCTGATGGATGCAAAGGATTAACGGTAATCTTAAGTTCTCATCTCACATTCTTAGCCGTCCAAGTTGCAAAGTATCATCTTTTATTGGAAAATGTGACAGAGCTTGCTAGGACCAAATCGTCTCATTTGTTAGCCTGAAACAGTTTGCTTTACTCTGAGTTGTTTTGCAGATACAAGGGAAGTATTACGTACAGATGGACAAGCCTGGAGATGGTGCAAAATGGCGTCGAACGTTTGGTCAAGAAATATATTCTCCACTTCTTTTAGCATTCACGGAGCAGGTTGCTCTGAAAAAATATTATATATTTGCTCTCCTCACTTATTCAAGATAGTGAAGTAAGATAAGAGATTTTGCTTGTAGGAAGGAGATAATTGGATTAATTCACACAAGACGACATTCTCAGCGTTTGAACCGTCATACTCTTTACCAAATAACGTGGCATTACTCACCCTCCAGGTTGGATTGTGTTCTGTAAATATGTCCAAAAAAAAAACGTTTTTATTAGTTGACTCACTAAATTATGTTTAATTCGTAATTTTTCAGGAGTTGGAAAACGGTGACGTTCTTCTAAGGCTTGCTCACTTATATGAGGTTCTTGCTCGTCCATTAATTTTCTATTGATTATGAATTAAAACCCCCATGAAAGTTTGATAATTTTGCTTCTCTGTTGAGTCACTTTTTTTTTGTTAACCTGTGAAGGTTGGGGAGGATAGTGACTACTCAGTTACGACAAACGTAGAGCTGAAGAAACTATTCCACAACAAAAAGGTACGCCAAAAGAAACAGCTCATCTCTTGTTTGTCTCACTGTGTCCTAACTACAAAACAATGCTCTTCTGTTTTTTTTAATTTGTTTGAACAGATACGCAAAGTGAAAGAGACAAGTCTCTCAGGGAACCAAGAGAAAGCGGAGATGGAGAAGAGGAGGCTAATCTGGAAAGTAGAAGGCTCCGCAGGGGAGAAGGTGAAGAGAGGAGGAGCGGTGGACGCGGAGGAGCTAGTGGTTGAGCTTGTTCCGATGGAAATCCGAACCTTCTTGATCATGTTTGAGAATCACATTGCAATGGTTGGTGAGAAGAGAGCAACGACATAGGTTCTGAAGTAACACACGTTGTGGTTTGGGGTATGCATTGGTCTGTAAACAGTGGTCTGTGTTTAACAGCTTACTCCCAACGCAATCGTTACAGTTACAATTAAAACGTTTTATATATCAAACGTGGCAGAGTTAACAGCTTTGGATGCTGATCCAAGTTTGAAAGTGGATGATTCATATGGTGCATTTCGGTTCCCAGATATTTTGATAAATATAATTTGTACCAAATGGAATTTTGGTAATTGTGGTCTTCGTTCCGATCCCAAATGGTAATTTTCATTTAAAATTATTACCAAAAATGATACGAGGTGAGACAAGACGAGACGAGAGTTATACGACCCTTAAAAAAATTGTAAAATTATTGTACCTAAAACGGGTGGTTAAACGGGTCAGATCTAAATGGGCCGGATCTTAACTAGCGAAAAAGCCCAGACTGATATTGGGTATATCCACCAGGCACCAGCGAAGGAAGGAAGAATATTGTAGGGTTTCGGATTCGGGTCGGGTACACGTCGGTTCATGTTTGTATCAAAGAAAAAACACGGCGACATGTTTTTTTGTTTGGCCCTGGGTTAAAAATCAAGTGTGCATAGAACATAATAAGCGGTGGCTCTGAGCCGGCGAAGTTTTTCTTTATCAACCCTAAAATTTTCATGTCCATCTTGCCTCCTCCGCAAATTCAAGGTCACAATTCGTCTTCTTCTCCTTCAAATTCGTCTCTAAACCCTAGCTCTGAGCATGGCAACAACTCTTCTGTGTCTCCTCTTTCCACCTCTCCTTCCTCCGGAATTGGATCTCTCAGCCTCGCCGCACCTTCTTTCACCACTGCTGATTCTTCCGGCGGCTCTCGGGGTAAGGAGATTGATAATTCAGCTACCCAAATTTCCCCCCTTTTTTTAGGGTTTTCACATTGAAGGCCACGAATTTTGATTTGGTCATTGAGGGTTTCTTTGAAAAATTTGAGCTTTGTTTGGATTTTATCTTTTTTTTCCCTCATTTCCGAATTTTTTTTTGTTAACTGTAGTACCGATTGCTGCAGCTGAGGAGGGACATAGCCGTGGATCTTCCAAAGATGTAAACTTTGATACTTCTCAGTGGAAGATGAGACTTCATCTCTGTCCCTCTTTAGTCAACTTTTAATTTTTGTTGCAGATGACGGAAACTGGATCAGGGAAGGAGAGTTTTTCCCCACCTAGTGCAGATAAACGTGACCATTTTCGACACGATGGTCGAAGGAATAGGTCGAGAGGGAGAAATACTGGAGCTGCTGGTTCTTCTTCTCAGTTGCAGCATAACACCGGACAACCTTTTAATCCTCCTAGAGGCGGCGCTTCGCATCACAATACATCCGGTAGAAGAGCTAATATGATCAGCGGGAACCATTTGCTGAACTTTCAGTATGATCCGATCTCTCCCCCACAATCTAGGGGTCCTCCTCCACCTCAAAGGAGGCAAACGACGAGGAGGCCTTATAACAAGGATTTGTTTCTTCAGGCCAATTACAAGTTCGTTGTGTTGGACACTGGAGATCATTCCCCTGATTCTATGGATCCTGATAAGACGCTCCAGTGGGAGAATATCATCTGTGTGAGGTATGCAACGCCGTCTCCTGTGCAGTGTCCGGTTTGCTTGGAGTATCCTCTGTGTCCGCAGATAACTTCCTGTGGGCATATTTTCTGCTTCCCGTGTATTCTACAGTACCTGTTGATTGGCGTGGATAATCACAAGGCAGAGTGCGTCAAGAGGTGTCCTTTGTGCTTTGTGATGATCTCTCCGAAGGAGCTGTACACTGTTTACATTGAGAGCGTGAAGCAGTACTCTGTTGGAGATCCCATCGAGTTTGTACTTTTGACTCGCAAGAAAGGTTCTTTTGCTCCAACCCGGAAAAACGAGTACGACTCGGCCGTTCCTGATCCCTTCTCAAAGTTCACTTTCACCCAAGATGTTGATCTCTCTGTTAGACAAGCAGTTTCAGAGTTAGACGGTTGGATTGCAAGAGCAGATCCTGGGCTCGTCGAGGACTTGGAGAAGCACTTATATGTAAATGCTGCTTTGGAGCGTTTGGAGCAGAGAAAACTGTACTGGAATGAGCACAGGCTTTATAATTACAAAAATTCAAGCACAACGGCTAGAAATCAGATACCATCAGCCTCGCCTCCTGATGTTTCTCTAATTGGTTATCAAGCACCAAGCTGGGTGAGTGGAGCAACTACCAGCAGCTCAAACAATCAAGATAATAATAAATCGATTGAAGAATCTTCAGTGGATAAGTCAGATGAGGAATCTCAATCTAGTTTGGAAAAGAGTTTTGATAATGGCCACTCTCTAGAAGACCAGGAAGCACCGTCGTCTTCCTCGCAGAGTGGGAGTAAAGGGCCAGTGTTGCACCAAAATGACCCCAAAGACCTGAAGGACAACGAATCGTATAACTTTTATCAGGTAAATCAGTTTCTGGTGGATACCTCTGTGTTTGCATAAGGTACTAAATAACCGCTGCGTGATGATTGTTCTATTGCTATGTGCTGGTCAGTGAATATATCAAAGTGAGTTCCTTTGGTGAAAGCAGGTGTTATTTTCTGTTGTCAATAATCTTGCCACCTTTTGTTGATTAACTTATGAAAAAAATCTTAGGTGCTTTAATCCTCAACACACTCAATTTTTCTCTTACCATTGTGCTCTAATCGTGTACCTATACAGTCCGCTGATGGGCAGCACATTATCCTTCACACTTTAAATGTGAAATGCCTTCTACACCACTATGGCAGCTATGACTTTGTTCCACCAAGGTAAGAGTCACCGTCTCTTTGGCACCTTTAGTTAATGAAATCAAGAACCGGTGATATAACGTTTGAACTGTTATTAAGTATAATAATCAAGACTGGGAATGCTTTCAAGTTAAGAAAAAATATCTGCATAAAAAAAACTATCATATGTAATTTGTGGGTTTTAATAGTGTTCTGATTTCAATCTATGAAACGGCAGAGTGAGTGGGAAGATACTGGAGATGGAGACTGTAACACAGTCAGAAGCAATAAGGAGACGCTACCGCTTCTTGAATCATTTTTCTCTTACAACTACATTTCAGGTACACTTTCCCTTTGGGCTTCTCCTATCTTCTGCACGTGTTATCCCCGTAGTTCTATATCTTCCCATTTATCCTCTGATTCCATAATCTTTTCAGATGTGTGAGATTGATATGAGGGAATCATTGCCTCCTGACGCGTTTGCTCCATTTATGGATGAAATCAAGAAGCGTGAAAAGCAGAGGAAAGCACGTGCGAGGAAGGTATTCCTTTTTTTAAAACCATGATCACAATTCATGTCTCTCTCCATTAGACAAACTAAAACTCATGGCTACAAAATTGTTTGTTGTGTTTTTTTTCCTTAGGATCAAAAAAATAAGATAAAAGCTGAAGTAGCTGCAGCTGCAGAGCTTGTACCATTGATGGCCAGTTTTGGAGAGTCCTCTCGTGATGACTTTCCTCCGTTTTCCTTGGGTGACTTTGAAGGTGAAAAAAGGGATCTCTTTGTCTCTTATTAATAAGATTTCAAGTTAAGCATATGGTTGTGCTGCTCTAATCACAAGGCTTTTGTTTAAACCCTCTTTTAGCCCTTGGAAACTCTGCCCCAACATCATCAAGCCCTCCGAATATCGGAGAGAGAAGTTCCTTCTCACACGTGACAAGGCTTGGTTTCGCAGCTGGCCATGACTCCCCCAACCTGAATAACGAACCGACAAGCGTTCAAAGCAGCAGCAGCAGCAGCAGTGAAGTCACAAACGCAACCACAGGTAACTTCTGTTTTATAGCTCTGCGCATCCTTTTAGGATCCCTCTGATGTCCTCTAAAACATTGTTTCAGGTGCAGGAAACACAAACGTAACATCATCATTCGCTAGTGTAACATCAAGAACACCAAGCGCACCAGTAACAATCAAAGAGCCTGGAAAGAGAGGGAAGAAATCGAGCCGAGTGCTTCTATCGACAACCAGTGTACGCCGCTACTGAAGTATTTGTGTTGTATAATAAGCTTTGCTTCTAAGAAAAAAACTGAATAAAGAAAGAACCAGAGAGTGTGGTGATCAAGTGTAAACTCAAAACTTTGGCTTTGTCTCTTTTTGGAACCCATGTGTAACAGCTGATAATGAAGGTGTCTTTGATAAATACACCATTTTAGGACAAATTTACGATGATTCTTGCTGACTCAGAGAACACAGAAAGTTCCAAAAAGATTGGATAAAATATCTTCCAAGAGAGGAGGATAACTTGCCGGTGATTTTCATTCTCACAAGTAACAACAACAAAACCTTATCCTTTTAGAAAATATCTATTACTTTTTTGGTTCAAACTTTTATCTTCTTTCAAATAGAAAAAGAGACTTCAAGTTTGGGACCAGTGATTTTGATCCGTTGGATTATCAATTATTGAGTCAGTAAAGTTCACTCTCTTTTTTTATTGAATTTCTTTTGTTTAATAATTCTTTCACTCTTGAAGATTATCCAGTAACATATATTTTTCTTCTTGGTCACCAAAAAAAAAATTGATAAACAAAATTGGCTCTGCTCTGCTCTGCCTCTGGCTATAAATATGCCATGAACTTTTCCAAAACATAACCAAATATCTATTAAAAAAAAAATTAGGTGAAAAATGGAGGGAGCTATGTGCATCAAACCAACCATTCTTCTTCCTCTTCCTTCAACACATTCTTCTCCAAAGCTCACTCTTTCTCTTCTTCAGACCATCACCACCACCAAAGCTTCAAGACTCTCATCTCTCAGACCAAACGCATCATCGTCTTCAACCTCTGATCCTCTCACCGTTGACTACGACTCTCTCCTTTCGTAAGTCCCTTCTTTCTTCTTCTATTCTCTGTAATCAACTGACTCGTTAACATCTCTGTATGCTCAGTGTCTTCCCAGCTGAAGCATGCGAGACAATCAGCGGTTACGCCTGTTCTGCCGATATTTACCCTGAAGTCAAGCTCGACACAAAGCCCGTCTCACGTCCCGTGGCTTCAGAGCCTGTAGACCGAGAATACCTCGAGTATAACAACCCTAAAACGTAAAGATCACGTTTTTGAAACCCTTTCCTTTCTTTACCTCAGATTCTCAGATTGCGTTTTCAATCTCTGATTGTGTGTTGTTTTGGACTTGGAAAACAGAGTTTTCTGCGCAGAGGCTTGCGATGATCTTGGAGGAGAGTTCTGCGAACCTGACTATCAAAAAGATGTCTACTAGAAGAAAGAAGCAATAGTTTAATATGATGTGAATATGTGTTTGTATCTCTCTACAAGTCTCTATATATAACCACTCCTTAATATGTGATATTTAGCTCCACTTAATTAATATTGACGTTATATATGAATCAGACCCCAACTTCTCATTTCCCAAAGTTAATCAAACAGTAATAAATTTGAATTCATGATAATCAAACTTTAACATACTACAAGATCAAAGCTCTGTTCCAAAGTGTATTTACGTACACCAAAAGGACTCAAGCTAAATCAAAACCCGCTGCATCTAACAGCACTTCTTTAATTTGCTTATTGTCTTGTGTATATTATGGATGTTGGAGATGAATTTCGTTTGGTATCGTATGTGGCTGGATCTTGATAGACTTATCGAAAGATAAAATCTAATGAGCTGTTAATTAGTGGGGTGGATCTTGGAAGTTTTTTTATAATTCTTCTCAATGGTAAAAGCTAAAAGGGTTCAAGTAGATTAAAATATGTAATATGTTGGCACGTTTCATAATCAGTACTCTTTAAGAGTTTATTACATTATGCAAAAAAATAATCTTAGATGCAATGTATTCAAACCATTCAAAAAGAATCTTTGTTTCGCCTTTTTGGATTCTATTTGTAACAATAATTTCCTACAAAAAACTGAAGCAAATCATCGAGTTTCTTACTCCATTTTGAAAACGGAGAATAGCTTTACAAACAACTTTTCAACTCTCTAGTCTTCACAAAATTCATCTAGTTCCTTTCGTCACCTTTTTTGGTTGTAAGTTTGTAACAAAGCATCATAATCCATTGAAAAGCGTTGTCATATACTCTCTCTGTTTCATAATAAGTGTCATTTGGAGAAAATGTATCTGCATTGTAACTGGATGTATATAGATGTATTTTAAGTTTAATATATCTACATACATTGCAAATACATTTTCTCCAAATGACATTTATCATATAACAGAGAGAGTATATACGTTATAAGTCAATAACAACTGAAAAGCATTAGCACATAACACATCAACACATTTTCTTGGTATCAAAACAATGAACAATTAACGAAAAAGAAGCCAAGCCTATATGATGGAGCTTCCTCATTCCAAATCTTACATATTTTCTTCCGAATCCACCAACAAACCATCGAGAAATCTCAAAGTCTTAATTGTTGGTGGTAACAGAGGATGTAGAAATGGCATGGTGACTGAGTATACTAGAAATTGAAAAGTTAAAAAGTTAAAAAACCTTAAAACAGAAAGACTTTTTGCAGAGAAGAATGAAAAGAAACAAAGAACAAAACGGCTTGAATCATCAAAAAGGACATAAACAACTGGAGTCACGAGGACATCATTAATGCATGGATAATAATCATACAAGAGAGTACAGAGCTAAAAATTCAGAGCTCAAACCCTAAAAGCTTATGATTTTGAAAGATTCAAGTTCCAAGGCCCCACTACTTTTACTACTCCTTCATCCTTCATCACATCCTCTAGGTTCTCGTGACTCTCTCTCTCTCTCTCTCTCTCTTCTGTCTCTAACCGCCATAAACTCTGTCTCCTCTCCACCTTTATATTTTGTACGGATACAACGGATATACAAAGTTTTAATTTTTTAGTATTTAAAGTTATAAATAAAACAAAATTGTGGGGCCTGTTCTTTGCTCTGCCCTCTTCCTTTACCATCTGTTCTCTGTTTAACTGTTTTATTCTTCACACTGTTCTTCTTTCTCACATCGTCATTATCACCAAACCAATTTCCAAGATTCTCATCTGCGGAAACCAAAGCCATTTCCTTTAAACCTCTGCTCTGTGTTTATCTATTAAACTCACATCTGATTCACTGTCTGAAACCGTATATGTGCATGATCGTCATGAAGAAAAAAGTATTTAAAAAAAGAAATTCTTGATCAATGCTATAGAGGAGATGAAACATAATGAAGTTAACATTTCTAAAAGAAGGCTGAAGTTATGTCCCCAACAACCCCAAGTTCTCAAAGCTTAATTAAAAACAACTCTCATTTGCAGTTGCATGCATGCTTAAATTGCAGAAATGAAAAAAGAAACAGAGAAGAAAATGGCAGATCTTAAAGGGGCTTTAGTTCTTCTAGCTCTGCTTCAACAGATGCTCTCAATGGACTTGCTTGAAGAGGGGGGCTTGGCTTAGTTCTTCTATCTCTGCTTCAACAGCTGCTTAATGGGACTCGATTCAGGACAAGATCAGATCAGATCAGATCATACCAGCATAGCCTGCTGTATCGAAAAGCACTGCTTTGATTTGATCAGGCAGTATCTCCTGTCCTTCTTGGCATTGCTGATAGACAAATTCCAAACAACACACATGTTACTAAAATCTTCCACAAAATGGCAACCGTTTTAACTGAAAAAGTACATGCAATGTTGTTACTATAATCACCTCAGCGCGGAAAACATCCAAGGCAAACCCGTTGAAACAGCTGATCACGGCTTGCTGAACATCCAATCCAAGATTGTCCAAAGCTTTCATGGTAGCGAGCAAGAGACCTGGTCTACGACCACAGAACATGTGAATGTTCACTGCTCTTCCTTCCCTTAATCTAACCTCAACCTGTGGAAACAACAAAGAAGCAGAGTCAATGTCTCAACCATGAAGCTTTGTTTTTTGTCTAAAATCTAAACCAAGTTTCTAAGCCTTACTCTTGCTTGCTGGCCTTTAGGGCTCGGCAAAGAAGAGGGACACAACTCTTCCTTGACACGGCAAGAAAGAGTCTGCGGTGTAGGTGTTAATGGATGGAAGCTTGATGAAGTTGGAGGCAAAGAACCAGGCGGAGTAGACTCAAGTTCGTTGTGAAGATCATTGATCCTTTGTAAAAGCTCCTTGAGATAATCAATTGCATCTCCAAGAATCGATGCTCTGTCCATCTGCAAACCCATCCAATCCATTAAACCAAACCAAATCTTTATCACAAGCGACTAAAGCAACTACATTCGTTAAAAACGCTAGAATTTTGAGCTCAAACCTTTACAAAAGCAACAACACAACAATCTCTAACGACGATGATAAATAAATGATGAAGACAAAGCCCTTAAGGAGATGAGAGAGAAGTAAGTCTTTACTTTGCTGATCTTGGGGACAACTGATCTAAGCATGTAGAGCCTATCATTAAGCTTCTTCCTCCTCCTCCTCTCAGCCATCAGATTCTTCGCAGGCATTCCTTTCTTCTTACCTTTACCTCCTCCTCCTCCGTTCTGAACACTCTCTGCCGCTTTACCGCTCTCGTTCAGCTCATCAGACTCATAATTCAACCCTGAAACCTCAATCCCAGTCTCATCCATCTCTCCATCATCGCTCATCTTCCTCATCCCTGAGCTCTCCGAGTTCCCAATCTTGCTCCCTGAGCTCTGACGCATAGCTGCACGTTTCTGGAACAGAGTAGGCTGTGCCCCAGACGATGCCAAGACCTCTAGAGGTTTCAGAACTTTCGCTCTGTTCCCGACGAAACCGCCATTCGCAGGACTCCCAAAACCTTCCAACTCCAGCGGAGTGAACCCGCCTCCGCCTCCACCGCCGCATAACGGCGTCGAGTTGTTGTTTTCCGGAGCGAGAAGCGACCGAGCAGATAAGAAATCAGGGACGGAGCTCAAGTCACGGTTCCCCAATTGGGTCAACGAGCCGAACCCCATCGAAATAGGAGCTTGGATTTGGCCGAGGAAACCAGAATCAGAGCCGAATTCGAATGCATTGTCGAAAGGGTTTGTGGAGGAAGGGACATTGAGGAGGCAGGACTTGCTGTTGGAGGCTAAGAACGAAGGCTGAGAAGGGTCGAGGCTGAAAGCTTGAGAGGGAGAGCAAGAGGAAGACGAATCAATCGACTGGTGAAGAAGAAGATTGTCGTTGGGGTTGAAAGGGAATCCGCCGAGGAATCTGAAATCCTGCTGATTCTGTAGCATTTGGAGATCTTGTGGATGTGGTGGGTTACTGAACCAGTCACCTTCAAGCATAGGCTTGAAATGAGACAGAGAAGCTCCACCGTCTTCTTGATTCCTACCCCACGAAGCTTCCTCGTTCTCCTCCTCCTGAATCCGCTCTCCGCCACCGCCTAGCCAAACCGCACCGCCGTTTCCGTCGAGAACCATCGCAAAGTTGAGAGCTTTAAACCTGAATTTTGGAAGAAAAAAAAAACAGTGTGTGAAAGAGGTTAAAGACAATTCTACAGAGAAGGAAAAAGTTTGAATTTTTAGAGACTAGACATAAATCAAAAGAGCATTAAAGTGGAATCACGAGGAATCCATGAGGTGGGCTAATCAGAAAAAGAAGCGAAATCTGAAAAAAAGAGGGATTTTAGAGAGAGAGAATGATAGATTCAGAGCTCGAAATTGAAAAATTGAAGAAATTTAATATCTTTAGGTATAAGGATTCAATTTTGGAACGCCCACCATAACTTTTTTTTCTGCTTTTCATTCAACACTTACCCCAGATTTCTCGTGACTTCTTTGTTTCTTCGTTACCGTCGTCTCACCGTCACTGCTCCATCTTTTGCTTATCTCTCTCTCTCTCTGTCACTGTCTCTCTGTTTATATATAGAGAGAGAGTGTGTGTGCAAGAAAACTAACGGTGTATTAGCATTAACTAATGACGTCAGCTTATTTGCTAATCCATGCAACAAGTGTCCTCCATGCACTTATGTAACCGATATTATTACCTAATCATGAGAAAATTGACTAAAGTAACTTTTTAAATGTCATCATTAACCAAAATTAATTATCATTAGATAACTTTTTGGGGAAAGAACTTAAATTTAATTATTAGTAATTGATGCTTGAAATGAGTGGTGAACGCATCACAAACGTTTCTCTCCAAATGAAAGCAGGGCGAAGAATGCGAGAAAGTCCGAATAGTAACAAAACCAACTATGGTTATGTACAGATTCACTTTGCTTTATATAATTGAAATTTTTTCTAGTTTTCTTATACGCATACTAGGAAATGTTTAGTAAACGTTTGTTTTTTTCTTCTAATAATTATATAGTAAACAAATTACTATAAACTAATATTGTGAGGACTTTGAAAATTTAATATTATGTGTAAAAACATTATTATTCTTCTTTCTCTTTTCTAATCACTATTAGCAGTCCTTTAAGGACAAGGAGCAAGGATTATGTTTTAGTAATTACGACGAGTGAAGACGTGGAAAACAACTTTGTGGCTCGCTCGAGTGAGTTACAGTCTGAATCTCGTTTGAAAATCTGATCTATTAATAAAATTATATAATATAGTTCTATTAAAAGTATATATAACCTCATTATTATAGTAGAAAAGCTTTGGTTTTTGTTATACGACAAAATATGTTTTCGTAGTGACCTTGTTACGATAGAATAACAATAAAATAACATATTCGTTCGTCACAGTTTTGATAATCATAACTTAGTGCAATGGGGAAATTAATGGTTTTTCACTTTTGTTTCATGAGTTGCGAGAAGTTAGGTAAATTGCTAAACATGCCAAAAATTCTGAGCTAGTGGAGACTTTGCATCTCGAGGTTTTTTCAACTATTGTTTTTAGATCATAGGGAAAAAAGATTCTGAGTTTGTTTTGATAAATATTGCAGTTTTTCAATGTGCTGAAACAAAAATATTGTTGCACTTATTTGAATTTTCATTTAGATTTATATTTGACCAATACAAAACCGTATAAATAAGCAAAAGACAACTGTTAACGAAACATAGTAAGTACTGAATAACACAATAGGTTTCGCGAGAACTTTCATCCATATGAAATAACTAATATAATGAATTTTAGTTAAACTAAAATTTAATTAATTTGACTATAGAATTTTTGATATTTCAATTAGTTTAATTAAATTTTTGAATACATGATCTTGATACTTCAAAATTTTCAAATTATTTAAAATAACTAGGTATAACTAACTTTTCCTCTAAAAACAATTATTAATAAATTATCACGTGTCAATAGAATTTTGTATTGTTTTTCACAAATTTTTATTTTTTCTCTCAATATTTTTGTTCTTAATTTACTGGCATTGTAATTACACTACCATATATTCTATTATATTTTTAAAAAAAAATAAACATAAACTCGTTTTTCTTGGTCAACTTAAAACACAAACTTTTTATTTAAAGAATTCTCTAAATGTTTAATAGTTGTCTCTTTATATGTACTCTAAAATTTTAAGATTTTTGTATCTAAAAATATAAAGCTAAAAGGCTGTGATGTGTATATAGCAATTGTGATACCTAAAGAGAAATTGCATTCATTAGCCATATTTTAGTTCTAAATTAACTCTATGACCATAACAAAATCATAGCTACTCACTAGGGTTACTACTCACCAAGTTAACTCTATTCCAAATTGACCCATACTTGAATCTAGTTTTTCTCTTTTAATTTTGTTGTTTTTAATTTAATGGCATTTGTATTTTTTTTAATGTGTTTTAAAATGTTAAAATAGATACATGGTTCAGCAACATAAAATGCAAAGAAAATCACAATACTTCCCATATCATCACACTAGAATTAATTTTTATAGTTTTATAATTCATTAACATCACAGATGTTATATTAGCAGTCCAAACTATAAATGCATTATAAAGAGATGTCTCTCGAGGAAGCTAGGGTTTCGAGCGTGGATGACCAAGATGCAATGATGATGGAGGAAGTGGAGAAGGAGCGGCCGGTAGAAGATCCACCGGATCCACCGGGAACAGGAACCTGGGCGATGAAAGTAGCGGGAACGAATGCTGGGGGGATGCCAGTACCGGACATGCTGATTGATGAAGGCTTTGTTGCGGAGAGATTAAGAGTGGAATTCCCAGAAGGTGAAGATGGTGAACCAGTGATCACAATTGGAAGGGAGGTCTTGGATGCAATGAACGGACTGTGGAAACAATGTATGATTGTGAAGGTTTTGGGCCGTCATATCCCCATCCCTGTTCTGAAATGAAGGTTGCAGGAGCTATGGAATGTAAAAGGAGCAATGCACATCATGGATCTTCCAAGACAGTTTTTCTTAATTCGTTTCGAATTGGAGGAAGAGTTCATAGCAGCACTGACTGGAGGGCCATGGAAGGCCTTTGGAAGTTATCTAATGGTCCAAGCGTGGACTCCAGAGTTTGACCCGATGAGGAATGAGATCGTGACAACGCCAGTGTGGGTGCGGCTCACGAACCTATCAGTTAATTTCTACCACAAGGCCATCCTTATAGCTCGGGGCATAGGCAATCCAGTAAGAGTGGACTCTACAACCCTACGTTTTGAGAGAGCCTGCTTTGCGAGAGTATGTGTGGAGATTGATCTTACACGCCCCTTAAAGGGAACCGTACAGATCAATGGGGAACGGTATTGAGTCTTATATGAAGGGCTATCAAACATTTGCTCCAACTGCGGTTTGTATGGTCATCTTATTCACGCATGCCCGAAATTGGCGGTAAAGAAAGTAGTGGTAACACCATCACCAACGAAGGGTGCTGGTCCGAATAACTCTACACAACAGGATGATGGATTCCAAACGGTGAGGAGATCGAGAAGAGGAGTAAAACCATCATCGGAGTTAGGGAATCCGCCGTTGGAATCGGTGGTGTTCGAAGCGGGCGTATCGAGCCGGGATTTGGGGCGTAACCTAAGGGAAATCCCGCGATTAAAGGAGAAAGCGAATATTGAGATAGCAAACAGATTTGGTAATCTGAGGGAAGAGGATATGGGAGAAGCGGATACTCGATCACCGGAGATTTCGCAGGAGGGAAATAAGGAAAACGAGATATCCTATTTCCATAATAGTAAGGAGAAGAGTGTTGGGCACGGAGAGGGTTTATTGACCGGAGGGAAGTTTGAAAAAGGTAAGAGTGGCCTATTAGGAGACAGACGAGATAAAAGGGCCGGGGGTAAGAAGCCCATGAATCATATTTACTCTAAAACTAGACATAATCAAAGCAAGCCCATGAATGAATTAATGTTTGGGCCCACTAAAGGAGAACTGGGTCTATCAGAGTCAGGAAAAAGACTGAGGGTGGAGGCGAGAAATTCAGGGAGGACTGGTGGTGCTTTCGCCAACGAATCGGAGAAGTAATGACGACGGTTCCACAAGGGATGGTCGGGGAAGGGGCCCCTCAAGTAGGTAGAAAGGAGAACTATGCGGAGGAGACAGAGGGTAATCGGGGGTTGCCGATGATTTCCTTGGAGGGGGAGGCGGCTCAAATGGTCGCATGACAGGGCGCCCCGGCATTTCAGCTACTTGCAGTAACAAATCTCTTAATGAATTGTCTACTTTGGAATTGCCGAGGGGCGAACAAACTTAATTTCAGGAGATCTATCCGATATCTATTAAAGAAGTTCAAAACCGATGTTTTGGCGCTGTTCGAGACACACGCGGGAGGAGATAGAGCGCGACGAATATGTCAGAGCTTGGGATTCGATAACTCTGCTCGAGTTGATGCTGCAGGCCAGAGCAGTGGCTTGTGGCTGTTATGGAGGACGGATATGGGCGATGTGGTTGTACTGGAGACGGCGGAGCAGTACATACACGCTCGAGTGGACACTGAAGGGGAGAGTTTTCACTTGATCGGTGTATACGCAGCTCCTACCGTAAGTAGAAGAAGTGGTCTGTGGGGACAACTGACTCAGGTAGTGCAAAGTATTGATGGGCCGTTGTTTGTGGGGGGGAGACTTTAATACCATTATACGACTTGATGAGAGAACCGGAGGAAATGGGAGACTCTCACCGGATTCTCTAGCTTTTGGAGAATGGATGAACGATCTCTCGTTGATAGACATGGGGTTCAGAGGGAACAAATTCACATGGAGAAGAGGGCAGGAGGAGAGAACGTACATTGCAAAACGCCTGGATAGAGTTCTCTGCTGCACGCATGCTCGAATAAAATGGCAAGAAGCATCGGTGATGCATTTGCCTTTCTTAGCCTCAGATCATGCGCCTCTCTACGTACAACTGACCCCGGAAGTAAGGAGCAACCCGAGGAGGAGGCCTTTCCGATTTGAAGCAGCTTGGTTGAAGCATACAGGCTTTAAAGATCTATTATCAGCCTCGTGGAATGGGGATTTAACGATACCAGAAGCTTTACAAGCTTTGAAAGGGAGACTTCATAGATGGAACAAAGAGGTTTTTGGGGACGTTCAGAGAAAGAAGGAGAAAGTTATGGATGAGCTTAAGGAAGTACAAGATCGATTAGAATCAAGTCAGACTGTGGAGTTGTTGAATAGAGAGCTGGACCTAAGTAAAGAATTTGATGTCATCCTGGAGCAGGAAGAGGTTTTCTGGTTTCTGAAGTCCAGAGAGAAGTGGATCTCGTTGGGGGATAGAAACACAAAATACTATCATACGTCCACCATCATACGGAGGCGCAAGAACAAAATTGAAATGCTGTTGAACGATGAAGGGAGATGGATCTCAGAGCCACGAGAGCTGGAAACGATGGCTTTAGAATACTACAAAAGACTGTATTCAATGGAGAATTTAGACCAAGACGTGGACAGATTACCAGCGCAGGGTTTTATGGAGCTAACTCACGAGGAGCTACTGGCTCTAACTAAACCTTTCTCGGCTGAGGAAGTAGAAGCTGCGATACGAAGTATGGGGAGATACAAGGCTCCGGGCCCGGATGGATACCAACCCGTC